ATTGTCTGCCCATACTGTGTTTCTTGTATAATTTATCAAAACTTAATATATGCCTCATCTATGAGATTTAAACACTTAAAGATGTTGGAAAAGCTACTGGAAAAAAATATTGGCTATTGGTTTAGAAAAATTACACATGAAATTAAGAATAAGTCCCATCTACCTGTGTCTATGACCCTTACTTTACTGGATGGCTGGCATCTTTCCTCCCTCTTCCCCTAATGTTCCTAAATAAACAGCAAACATTTATTTAAATAGATGGCCATGTCTGATGTAGAGAATGCTGTGCACAATGCAGGAATATTTTAATTCCTCTCTCCAGGTGGGCTTTCAGGTTGGGATATTGTTGTTAGGTCTTAGTGTCGCTTTATAAATGCAAAAGGCATTAATTCCATTTAGTTCTATCTTTAACTGTTTATTTGTGTAGCATCTCCTTTTTGTTTTTCCCAGTAAATAGCATCCTTCTGTCAAGATATCCCTATTTTCAGTGTCAAGCATTTAGCGTAAAGATGGATTCAATTTCTTCTGGAGAAGAGCACTGTAGAGTTTTGTTCTGCAGTTGGCGAGGAAGTAACTTTGATAAGGATGGGTAAAGACAAAGGTCTTACATTTGGCAATGCGGCAGCTGGCTTTTTCCACTTTGAAAACTGAGTATGTCACTCCCTTGATAGATCTAGCTTTTAATTCCCTGGGAATTTCTCTTTCAACTTTGTGAGAGGCTAAAGTTCCCCCAAAAGGTCTCTGACTTTCTTTCACTGTAGCTATTGAAGTGCGGGATAATTGACAGGAGGATAATTTTTCCAATGGCTGGCTTGGTTTGCTTTCATGTGTGATAAATATTATTAAAACAGTTATTTCTGCTCATATCTTACAGCTGTTAGGAGGCGGTTAGATACCTCTTCTTAGAAAGCTGTGTAATTTTGACACAGGCTATAAATGCTAGCTCTTCATTGATATAACGCAGGTAATTGCTGTGTTCAGCACCTAACATTTGACAGCACAAAACCCATTAATTAAGAAATGATACTTTAGAAAGCTGTAATTTTAACCAAGAGCTCCAGAGTTACTTATGCTATCCAAGGTGATTTCTCAGTAATTCCTTCTGTAGCTGCTTGTGGATGATCTTATTTTCCTTCCAATCCTCTTTTGGAGGGTATTTCTACTATTTCTCTTCTCAAAGCATGTACCTGAAGATGAGTTCTAACCTCCTGTTGTGCGACTGCCTTCCTATCACAGACTTTTTGTACTGAATTGTGTCATGATTAATTGCATGAAGAAAGATGTAGCTATTCTAAAATGCTTTAAAGTCCATGCAAAACAGAATGTAAAAGAGTTCATGTGACCCTGTTGTATTGTGTAGCTGCAAAAAGTGGGCAAATTTGTTTTAAACTGAGAGGTCATGAGGGGAGCATTAATTATTATTTCACAGCTTGTCTACAGTAGACATAAATGACAATTGGAAAATATCTCAAAATGTGTGTATATGCACGTGTATATATACATGTGTATATATACATGTGTATGTACACTCTGTGTGTTTATGTACATATATACACATATATGTACACATATCAGAGAGAGAGAGAGACCAAAGCATTTATGGGAGAAGCAAACTTATGCAGATGGAAAAGTTGACAATCTTTTAATCATACAGCTCCCTGATCTGCTGAAGGACTTCTGTACCTGAACACTTGTTTCTTTCCAACACTGTCACTTGGTCTAATAAAAAATATTCCTTCTCTTTTAGACTATGTGGATTCCTAGACAATCTTGGCTATGGTGGTGATGCTTCTACATGTATTTGATCAAGATAGCAAGCAGCAGGGAACCCAGATCATCCATTTTGATTTTCATTTACCTAATGGAAGCTACTCCTCTCCCCACTAAAATAAAGACCGTAATACATGGTCTAATTACATAAAGCTGTTTTTCTTTATGCTGCCAACTTTTTTTCTTTGTGTAGCCAAATGTGGCAAGAATTTGAGAAAAGAGTAGTTTTCCCGTAGTACAGAACTGGTATGGAGACTTCATGTGAGCTTTTACAACTATTAGAATACATAAGACTAAGCTAAGCTAAGGTCTTTTGGGAGTGGTTGACCTTTCTTCTCTGACTGTCAGCTTATGCTCAGTTTAAACCTAAAACATCTCTCTCCTTTTCCTAGTCTTGTACCTCCTCTTTCTTTGCCTGTCTACCCCTTGACCTGCCATCTCTCCCATGTGGAACTGAGGGATATTGCATCCCTGTAAAAGATTTGTCTTCTTTTTTTTTCCCTCTCTGGAGTAATTTGTACTCTCTGTTAAGAAAGCAGACAGGGAAGATGAACAAGCTTGCTCTGTAGTGTGCAAGTCTGAAGAAAGATGGTCAATCTTTGGGTCAGGCACTGGAGTAAATTTAAGAAAATTGAGGCATTGCCTGGGTTGATGCATTTCCACTGGAAAGATCACAAATGTAACTGTCCCCTCAAGGAAAGGAGAATTGCATTGTGCCCCAGGCTTCTGAAACAGAACTTAAGGTAGAGGCATTACTGATGCAGTTCTATTCATCTTTATCAGTTTGTAATAAGTTAGCTGCTTAGAAATTCTTCTTTCTGCTAGTTTGTGCTTATAAAAAAACAGTGCTATTGCAATGCTCTCTGTATTTGTGCGTGTGTGCGCTCATGCGTATGTTTACATGACTGAGAGATTCTCTAGTGCCTACCTGTAACTTGAAATATAAGCCCAAAATAAAAAAGGATGTGCAGCTATTGCTATTTTCAATTATTATCGGTGTCTCAAAGATTTTTCTATTTGACTGAAACATGGGGTGTTTCTTTTTTCTGAAAGTTTCACTGCGTGTAGATTTTGTGGTAGAAAAAAACAGTAGCAGGAAGAACAGAGGGGAATTCTGCCTTCATTCCTGCCTCCTCCTAACCCCACCCCAAAGCCATGCTCTTTCATGGCATTTCTTTCTAATGTGTGGGAGCTTGTGTGCTTTGATCTATGGAAACGTGTGTGAAGGATGACATGGGTGTGATTTCACTGGCCACATCTGCTTCAGACGATCTGTTCTGCTGCGGTACAGCAAGTAGCAGTCCATACTGAGATTGTTGCTTTCTTTTTTTGTCCCAACTTAAACACCTATGTCATTCCATTTACCATTTAAGTTGGGAGAACATGAAGCGTATGAAATGTGCTACTAAGTGGGTAACTAAAATCAAGGCTGCCTATGGTTCTTCCCTGTTAAATATATGCCTGGCGTGGACAAATTCCTATCTCAGTTACATAGATGTTCAGTGTGAACACCTGTGTAATTGAAAACGAAACTTTGTCCACAGTATTTAGTTACATGACATTTTTTCCTCCCAAGGGGTCCCTGATAGATCAGTGTTCATGACAGATAGCATTCAGTGAATGAGGCAGCTGCTTAATTTTTGTCATTGCTGTTCATTGCACAGTCCCTCTGAAACCCTGTGTGTTGCAAATTCTTCCATTAATAAAAACTGCATTATCTTCCTGCAAGTCATTTTGGCATACTTGAAAGTCTCACAAATCTGAATTAACGTACTGGGAAGAATTATACCCGTTTACTGGATGAGGAATTGAGACCCAGTGACCTTCCCAAATCAGGAAAGAAATCTCCATCAGAACCAATCTCCATTAGTTCCAGTTGGAACTTAAAAGTCGTATAGACCAGCTTATTCACTTCAAATCTGATCTTTTTATCTTCAATTGTGACTTGACTTGGTTCAGCCAGGACATGTCCTGCCACTCAGGTTCTGTGCACAAACTGATTTCATGTGCTTTGTGGGCTATGAAAGGAGTAAGGCAAGGATCCTGAAGAAGCAAATAGTATCTGATTGTGTAATCTGATTATATTAATCCTGTACATCACTCAGACTTAACTATGAGTTACTTCTAATATTTCTTTTTTTTTTTTTTTTTTTTGGGTGTAACTTGACGTAAAGGACTTCTATGGATGTAATAAACAACACACATATGATTTAACAAGTTCATGAGATTATTTTTTCAAATAAGACTTATTTATTTTGTCAAATAAGACTATAGCAGTCTTATTTCCAAAATTCCATGGGTTTATGTTGGCCAAGAAAACAATTCAGTAAACTGAAGGAGACACAGCACAGTTCCAATAAATATATTGTTAATGGCTAAAATTCTTGTTAAAAAATCTGTTTCTATAGTAACTGCTGCAGATTGTCACTTCCTCTAGCATTTGGAATAGTACCAAAGTGAATTTAACACTGATGCTGCGAGGGACAAATCCTATGAGAGCTGCAAGAGATCGCTGCTAGCAGTATGCTTTATTTGGTATCGAGATGTATGAACAACACAGTTCAGTAACCATAGATGGTGTCTAAGAACTATTTCTTCCTACCCTTTATTCTAATGCACTGTGTGCATTTGCTTTTTTCCTTCTATACAAAGACAAGTCCTCATTTGAATCTTATAGCAAGGGCAGATAAAATACATAGGTATGCTTAAGTATTTAAGTTTAAATGTGTGTGTGGGTATGCTATTAATTTTGAAATGCCTCTGAAGAGATTCACCACATGTGTTTTTCACTAATAAAGAGCAAGTCAACAAGAGGCAAACGCGTATGGCATAAGCTTAAAACAAAGCCCAGGTAAGTTTTAAAGGGTGTATTTATCTTACCTTGTACTAGCCCTGTGTTTCTTCTCTGAAGCATAGTGAAGGGAGATTTTTCTTCTGCTTCTAGAAGTGTGTATACTCAGATGAAATGGATGATTTCTGTGGCTACGTATTCTGTTTTGGTGTATGTTTGTATCTATTTTTGTTTGTCTTTTGAGTTGAGTGCACTGAGTGAACTCATGATCAAGTAAGGCTGAAACTTTTTTAAGGGGAGGGGAAAAGGCTTCAGGGGAGATACATCTTCTTTTTAGCAACCACAATTTGGTTGCAATTCTGAGAGAAACAGAACTTTGTTTTTGCAAGTTTGTGGATATGCATGCAGTGAACACTTGGAGTTGTTTATTTCTTTCCAGATGGATGAGATAAAAGGCAAAGACCGAGTGATTCTGGCTCTGGAGAAAGACCTCGGTGTCCAGGCAGGCCATACACAGAAACTGCTCCTTCAGAAAGAGGCTTTGGATGAACAGCTTGTCCAAGTGAAGGAAGCAGAACGATACCACAGTAGTCCCAAGAGGGAGCTTCCTGCGGGAGTTGGGGACATCACCGAACTGATGGGAAGCCCGGTAGGAAAATTGTGTTTTCTTTGAATTTTCAACACAGGATAATTGCTGCCTGGGTGTTCACATCTGGTTTGTGGTTACTTTTAAAATACTAGAAGGACTAATTCATGGCAAATGGCCCTGCACTGCATTGTGCTCTTTCACCAGTGATTTAGAAACTCCTTGGATCTCTTGAATTTCAAAGAATGTTGAAAAATGTGTGGATATAGAAATTTTAGAATCTATGTTGTGACCTTCAGCTGTGAACCCCATTACTTTCTTGGCTATTTATTTCATAACTTTAGGAATTATTTTAAACAATAGCAAATAGATACTATACTTTTCAAAAACTGTGCCATGTGATTTTAATCTGTGTCCTACGCACTAGGTTTTTTTACTATTAGCTGATAGTAAGAAATCTGGTGAGAAGTAACCAGTAGTAGGTTAAATATTGTTTATCTAGCTGTTTTTTAAAATTGTTAAACCTTTACATACATTTCACAAGTAGACACTTTTAATGTAATATGTCATATAGCATTTCGACAGGATATTATTGTTCAGGGTTTCAGCTAATTAAAACAAGTTTTCCAGACCCTGATGTAAAGAATCTATTTTAAATCTACACAATCACTTGCTAGACCATGATATTAAATTTCTGGACAGTGAAATATTTTTTTAAAAGATAATTGTATATATCTATATGTTTCTGATGTAAAGGAGCAGCATTTGGATGAACGAGATGTGCGGAGATTTCAGTTAAAAATCGCTGAACTGAATGCTGTAATAAGGAAGCTGGAAGACAGGAATACTCTCTTAGCTGATGAAAGAAATGAACTGGTAAATTAATTAGTAATAACACAGATGGTGACTGGGAGGGCATCTTTATGGTAAAAGAAATAAATTACAAAGTAGTCCTGGTTGGCCTCAATCAATTTTATCTAAATATAATAGAGATGTCTATAGAAATTCACTCTGTGACCATTGGAGATATGGATGGAATCTCTCTTGTTCCAGAAAAATAAAACTTTATAAATTTATTTTGGGGTCATTGTAATCAAATTGACTGGTAGCTTGCCTGTGGCACTGCGTAATGATGTTGTGTAAAACATGCATAATCTATGCACTTAAATTAATGTATTAATCTTTTTGGAATTTGACATTGGTTTTGTGACATGCTTATGCTAACTAGGAGTTAAAAAAGCTTTCTTGTGCTGGAGATGAAAAATCTGCCATTTCTCGAGGGAAATCTCTTAAGTAGGTGAAATTATCCTAGGAGACTGATAGTAACTTACAAAAGAAAGGATGTGACAAGAATTTTAAGAATGAATTTTATTAGCCTGCATCACTACTTAATTGCTTGTACTGAGGTTAACGGTAAAACTCCCATTGACTGCAATGGGAGGTGAGTTTTAACAATAAGAATTTTTACACATGTCCTCTTATAATGCCCTATTTCTAGTGGCAGAAGAAAAGATTTTTTCATTTTAATCAGATGAAAATATTCCCTCATGCAACCTATGTATCTGATTCTAAAATAATGCTATTATGTACAGTGAGAGGAGGAGGGGAGGGCACTCTTGCTGTGTGTCAGTCCTATAGATGAGTGAAGCATTGACATCTTCCTCCTTGCTTTGTCAGACAGCTCTTCATGTTGAGATATGAAGGTTTTGCTTTATGATAAAAGGACTTAATTTAGTTATGACATCTCAATGATTATTGGAAGGGGTAATTTTTGAAATTTTCTTGTCCAACATCTTGGCTGAACCTATATTAGTGAAGTCAGTTGAACAATGCTAGACTAAAATCGGGTGAATTGTGAACATAATAGTGTCTTTTTCTTTAAACTTTACCTCTTTAAATAGCTGTGTAGTCTAAACTGCACTTTCATATGACAAAATTGATTCCTCATTAACAATTTAAGTTTCTTGGGGTAAGAAGAGCACGTATTTTAGCCTGGGTACACTCCACAATTTTTCCTATCTTGCCTAGGTTCTGAGTTTTGGGTTGTTTTTCTCCACTTTTACTGCTACAGATCCTTTTGTCTGCTCTATACTCTCAAGAACATCTTGCCTTTTTTCAAGATTGCGTTATATAAAGGCAAGATAATTCAGCCTCCTAATCCTTTCTGTGGACAAAAGCCATTCAAAACATCCCTGAGGAATGCTGCAGTACTGCAACATCTATCCTACAGTGCCCTTCTAGATGGAGGGCATGTATGACTCAGTCAAGTGCTCTTCTTGATGCTTGACCTAGAGGAATAAGAAATATATTTTGGAAAAGATACGGAGAAGGTTTTATCATATTGTGAGATATTTATTACATAAAACCAGTAATATCAGTAAGCTCGTATGATCAAGCACTGTGAAAAATAATTTTCTCCTGAGAATGAAACAGAAAACCAAATACTCAGTGAAATTACCTCAGGAGAAAGATTATATTTTTCTCATTTCCTGTTAAAACTCAGTAAACTGAAAAATATTTTGATTGGAAAACAGATTTTTTTTACAAAGAAAACAGCTCAAGGATTAATGAAATAAAAAGAGTGAAATATTGAATACACACAAATGCAAGAAAGGGCAGTAATTTGCTTCACATAATTGTCTAACATCATAAAACCACAGGAACAAAATTGAGCAGCTTGAAAATGTCAGCAGAATGCTGAGATTGAATCTGTGCCCTCTGGCTGACTCTCACTGCTCTAATTACACATTAGGTATAGGGTTTTTAAAGTAGAGTAGAAAGAGTTTGCTCCTACTAAGGGGTAGTGAAAACTACTAGCATAGAGACCTATTTGCTCACAAGAAGCTTACATACAATCAGGTTAGTTTATCAAGAAATCACTTTTATGGATCATCATAAGTGTTTTCCAAGAGCAAAATCCAGTGACCAGATCTAGTGGTTTTATAGACTGTACAAAACTGCTATTTCTTATTTGTTTGGACTCCTGTAGGTCTTAGCTCAGCAGTAGTCTGTATCAGATGCCACTTCACAAAAGAACTAAACTTTCTGAATGAAGGAAGAAGGCAAGTGAAAATACACCTATTTCTTCTTTCCTAAAAGTATAAAAGCACACCTAACTTTGTTCCTTTGCCATTTGCAGCTGAAACGTTCTCGGGAAACAGAAAGTCAGCTGAAGCCTTTGGTAGAAAAAAATAAGAGGATGAGCAAAAAAAATGATGATATGTTGCAATGTATCCAGAGAATGGAAGAGAAAATAAAAAATCTATCAAGGGAAAATGTAGAATTGGTAAGTAATCATCTCTGACATCATGTTGTAAGAACACGTTGCACACAGTTACGTTTGAGGTGGAAGTGCTTGTAAGGCTTTTACTCTAATACAGGCATTTCGGAGTCTTAAATTCAGCCAATGCAACTGAATATTCATACTCTAAATTCAGAGTAGCATGTGCTTTGTATTGTAACAATTCACGCTGATTAAGGGAAGGGATCACAGACAGATAAGATGTGTTTGGAGGCTATAAGTGTGTATAACTGAAAATCAGCTTTAATAAACACTGCTTTTATGATTAGAAGTCAGAATTGAATTGGAGGGCGTCTACCAAAGGCTCTACCATGTTAGATCATTGAGTTCACTTGTCTACTAAATTTGTCCAAGACTATGTTCTTTGATTTTTTTTTTTTAAATGTGAGCTATTAACACTGAGGCATACAGAATGTGTAATAATTTTTCTTGTTGAAAGAGGCCTTATGTTGTAGTGGAGTAGGCACTGATGAGGCCAAAGAATTCTTGATTGCTACATTACACATGAGAATTTTCCTCCTGTTCCAGCAAGACACTTTAAAATGTTCCTTTAGGTTTAATTTCTTTTTTCAATTTTATTTTAATTTTTGTAGAAGGAGAAGTTATCTGCACAACCAGCGCTGAAGAGGCACACATCTTTGAATGATCTCAGCAGCACGCGGGAGGAACAAGAAATTGAATTCCTTAGACTGCAAGTCAAAGAACAGCAGCATGTTATTGATGATCTCACAGTGGTAATGCTTATGACTGGTATACACACGTGCATGCACACACACCTATAGGCAACCTAAAGATTTGAGAGCAATATTTTAACTCCAGTTGTTGTAGTGATACAGAAATAGTTCTTTGGCATTGAAGGGTTCTTGTTATTTCTCAGGTAGTGAACAAATTTATTTGGAATGTGTATGAATCTCTGTATTATAAAATATTTACCTATTATGAGCTGCTTGTGAAAAAAAGTGAATCAGTCCATTCACCTTACTTACAAAATTGGCTGTCAACAACGGAGGAACTTGGAGGAAAGGACACGTTTCAAAACTTAATGACTGAAACGTGTTGGATGTAGAGCCTGGTGCAAACCCAACCACTCCCCTGATCTAGAAGTTCTCCTCAAAGAAAGGAACATGCAGGATGGCATTCATTTCACCTAACTAAGCATCTCTAACTGAGCTGGCCACACTAGCTGTCTTTATAACAAATGGAGAGAAATACACGTGATTCATCCAAACAAAGGTAGGAGCACGGTTTAAGATTAGAACTGCACAGCTGCTACCCTCTGACTGTGAAGACCGCTTAAGATGATGTTCAGAGTTGTTTGCACTGTTTGATCAGGACTCTTCTGAGTTGTGTTAGAGTTGTCTAGTGCTATTTAGTGCAATGTAGGATACACTCTTCTGGTGCGGGCAGAAATGATGTATCATCTCTGAGAGACCCCTGCCCTTCTGGAGCAGCATCTGGAACTCAGGCAGACTATTCTAGAGCATCTCAAATGGCGCTACTGACTGCTACAAAATGATAAAATGAATTTAAGATCATTCTGTCTAAATAAAAAAATTAAACAATTGGATACAACATTGAAAATAAAAATAGAAGATCAAAAAAGGTAAAACAAGATGTGTTATTGCTCTGTCTGGAACATTATCTCTTTTTGTGGCAGTTCTGAGATTTTGACCCAGGATTTCTCTCTGTAATCAGTACCAAAGACTGATGTCTGCATGCCTTCCCCAGTGTCACAGTGTCACAAGCAGTAGGGTGTTACTCAGACACCATGATGTAGGGGCTGATTCACAGAGCAATGCTGCTTTACTTTCCAAATACAACTGTACAGGCAGGGACTATGACACCATATTGAATTCTCGGTATATGGAGGATATAACCTCACTTATATTTGAGTGTAAAGTGGGTATGAAAGGACTCTCTTTTTACTGTCTCAGCCAGTAATCTGAGGAAATATATTGTATGCTGACTTTGGTCAACTAGTATTTACTTGTGTCTAGTGTGAAAGTAAAATAAATAAATATTAAAAAATATGGTTTCATTTTTGCTTTGTTTCCTATTTACAGATACTTTTTCACTGTCAGAAATAAGTTAAATTGTTAACTAGGATACTGCTTTGATTGGCAGTACAAACTAATTGATGCTTCACCTTTGATATGAACGCAGTGGAACTCTGCGCTTCCACTGTGCTTTTCAGATATCTTTCTGGCTCAAACCACACCTCTACAGAATACAAATGTATCATAATTATCAAGAATGACCCACATGTCATATACCTGATTAATCCAAAAGTCATCAGCTTACTTCTGACTGAGACCAATATGATACACAGAAACAAGAATGATAGGCTTAGGCAGTAGGATTGTCTGAACTGATTAGTGTTGTCACTTGTAGGGTACCTTTGATGCTGCTGAAGCCATATAAACTTGAGTTCTCCCACAACGGTGGTTTTCTGGTCAGTTCTTAAAAGGAAAGCTGTCAAGATAAACTCAGATAATTGCAAAAGATGCTAGCGATTCAGCAGATGGTGTTTCTTTAATTGGCATTATTATTGTTCTGGTAGCTTGATTAAGACAGTAAATAAAGCAGTCTTCTTACAAACAAGGTTAGAAACAGGAAGGAGTGGGGGATTTTCATAGTGTTTGTTTATTTTGCACTGAAGTGAGAGGAAAGGAAAGGAAAGGAAAGACAAAGTGCGAAGACTAGCCATGTCCTCCAACTGTTTGGACACCTGCTTGGGGTGCAGGAGACCCAGGTTAAAGCAAGGACTGTGCCTTAACCAGGTACCTGAGGAGGGAGCATTATTCTTCAACACTATCTAAAATACAACTTTGTGTTTTCAGGTTGAACTTAATTTATTAATTATTCAGCAGCTTGAAATACCAGCTCCATTCTACTTTGGCAGTCATTACTTTTCCTTATTCTGGAAACCACATGTATTAAATGTGCTATATAACTTACTGTGCTTTTCTGAATTGTTTCGTATTTTCCAAAACTTTGTTCCTGGAACAATGTGCTGATAAAGATGAATATTTTTATTGTGCTTTCCCCTGGGAGCTTCATATTTTTCCAGTTTCTGACATGAATATAAAGCAAATATCTCTGAATAGAATAATGCCGTGCAGTGAGCAATAACTGCTAGAGAAGCACTTGGTACTGCTATCATTCTTTTGAAAACAGAGGTGTTGCAAAGAAAGATGCCAAGCTAAGGAAAGAATCAGGAAAAAGGCAAAGAGACAGATCTGCTTCCTGTGTTGGTTTTTTGCTTGTCCTCTCCTTTGCATTTTTTACCTTCTCTTTCTCCTCTTCTCCTTTGGAATTCAAGGCAGTATTGGGCTTGATTGTTCATAAACCCTGCATTTTTCCAGTCATAACCTCTTCATATTGTGATACAGTTAATTATGACCTTGTTCCAAGGTCATGGTAGAAAAAAGAGACTAAGCTGACACAGACTAAATGAGAGTGCCTTTGGATTTGAGACTTTTGCCATACCAGGATAAGTCATGTATCTGCATATGCATGGTTATATATCAGAGTATGCCTGATATAATGGCTTGTAATTACTAAGGCTGGACTCATTTTTGGCTACTGACCTGCTTCTTCAGGATGGTTGAACACTGGAGTGAGAACGTGAATTCTGTTTCCATAGTGAGCTTCTTGGTAAAAGAATCAAAAGAACTGTCAGAAATCTGTGCCCAGTATTTAACAGAGCCTTTTCTTGCCAACTTCCCATCAAGTGTGTAAAGGATATGTGCTAAAGGGACGGCTTGATGTTATACCAACGTGGTGTTTTTCAAAAGGATAAAGACATTGTCTTTGAGTTAGCTTTACCATAGGCTTTAAGAAAATTTGAATTATATTTCTTTGTGCTAGACATATCTAAATACATATTTTAAAAGAAACCCATACTAAAATGTTGTCTTTCCTTCTAGGAAAGGGAACGGTTGTTACGGTCTAAAAAACAGAGGAGGAAAAGTCTGAAGCCTCCAAAGGTGAGCAAACTTTTGGTTTTCCATGCATTTTGGTTGTTGTGAAAAAATACTGCCAAAATTAGAGCTCTAATTAAACTAATGTTAAAATTTCATATAACTCTCCTATTTTTTCCAGTGAGTGCTTATTAAGTTTTTTCTTAGGATAATTCAGGAACTGCAAGTTTTCTACTGTTCACAAGTGGTGTTCATTTGGGTTTTGTTTTAAATAAACAAAATAATTACACTTAGCCATTGTGGCCTGAATATTCAAGAATTTTTTACAGTCTCTAAACTACTCATACCAAGCTACTGCTTAATCGCAATTGACAACTTTACCTCATGCTAGGGATGGTATTGAAATATTTCTGTATGTGATATATAGATAGTAAGAAGATTCTATTTTTCTCTAGTAATTATTTTGCTCTAGAGTGCAAAGCACAGGAGAAGAATTCAGATTTCAGAAACAGAAAAGTTGTGCTTCAGAGTGTACCTTTAGTGTTCATTGTAACACATGCTTAAAGCAATTAATTTTGCTGAATAAAACTTTTTGTGATCACAGAATCACAGAATCGTAAGGGTTGGAAGGGACCTCAGGAGATCATCTAGTCCAACCCCCCTGCTAAAGCAGGTTCACTTAGAGCATGCTACACAGGACTTCATCCAGGCGGGCTTTGAATATCTCCAGAGAAGGAGACTCCACAACCTCCCTGGGCAGCCTGTTCCAGTGCTCTGCCACCCTCAGAGTGAAGAAGTTCTTCCTCATATTCAACTGAAACCTCTCGTGTTTCAGTTTGCATCCATTGCCCCTAGTCCTGTCGCTGGACACCACTGCAAACAGACTGCTTCCGTCCTCTTGACTTCCGCCCTTAAGATATTTGTATGCGTTGATGAGATCCCCTCTCAGTCTTCTCTTCTTCAGGCTGAACAAGCCCAACTCTCTCAGCCTTTCCTCGTAGGGGAGATGCTCCAGTCCCTTTATCATTCTAGTAGCTCTCCTCTGGACTCTTTCTAGGAGTTCCTCGTCTTTCTTGAACTGGGGAGCCCAGAACTAGACACAGTACTCCAGGTGGGGTCTCACCAGGGCAGAGTAGAGGGGGAGGAGAACCTCCCTCGACCTGCTGGCCACACTCCTCTTAATACACCCCAGGATACCATTGGCCTTCTTGGCAACAAGGGCACATTGCTGGCTCATGGTCAGCTTATTGTCCACCAGGACTCCCAGGTCCCTCTCAGCAGAGCTGCTATCTAGCAGGTCATCCCCCAGCCTGTAATGGTGCATGGGGTTCGACCTCCCCAGGTGCAGCACTCGACACTTGCTCTTGTTGAACTTCATCAAGTTCCTCTTTGCCCAGCTCTCCAGCCTGTCCAGGTCAATGTTGAACATTAGGAACCTCAAGTGTGTTAGGGGAGGAGAATGGGGTAAGAGGGGAAAAAATGGAAGTGAAGAGTGATGATTATCATCTATATGGTAGCTTCATCAACGGGTGTTCGTTGTCAGTGTGTTCTGCATAATATATCCCGGTGATCCCCAGGTGGTGCTTTTTTATGGCTCTGCATTCTGTAATACCTCTGTTCTGAAAGATTTATCCCTTGGGATTCTCTGCTTCAGCAGTAATTTCTTCAAATTGTACTTTGAATAGTGATGTGTCTTTTATATATGAAGAAAGAAAAATTCAGAAGTAACCATAAATCTTGCATACATTTTTCTGTTATGCAATGGAAAGCTGATTGGCGCCAAAGATATTTACAGTAACCCTGAACTGTTCTTTCTTGCTGTAGTATACCTGGAAGTCTGTGTGTTGAGAGTGAGTTTAAAAACAGGATATAAAATTAAATACATATAATTATATATGTAACTAATACTGTAATTTTATAGTCCTCTGTAATTATTAGCCCTTATCCAATTTTAAATTAATTAAGATCTTTTGCTAAACTGTAAAGTTCCTAATGAAACAAAACTAGTTAGTTTAATTTTTTAGAAGTTGATAAGTAGTGATGCTAATTCCTATAGCCTGAAAACTTCAATAATTATTCATTTATGTCATAAAAATGTTCTGTGTTAATAGAAATTCAGCTGACCTAGACTCTGTGCCCTTTCCTTTTACCTATTTTCTCTTGAGCAAGCTGCTGCTTTTGTGGTATCTTCTTCTTCTTTTCTTTATTGACCAAAGCAGGAGTTAAACAACATGAGGGTTGGAGAAAATGTGCATGATACCATTAACAAATTTGTGGCAGTGCTATTCTTCATGTGGTAAGAGTACTGTAACTGGGGGACTTCTGCAGACATTACTGCAAGAGTTGCGTGCATATGAGCAGCAGAGTTAGCAGGGGTTTGCTTCTTATTTATGATATGATAGATACACCAGAAAGAACAAATTAATCAGTAGCAGACATAACTCCCAATACTTATTCCATCCCCTGACCATTAGCTCTTTGGTGCCCATATGAAATTGGCCATTTGAATTTTATTTGACGCTATCTCCTCAAAAGAAAAGGAGGACTATAAAACAAAAACAAGTGAAAGAGGGAGAGAAAGTTGTGAGAGAAGAGTGAATGGAATTATATATACTATACTAGTTATACTATGTATACTATACTAGTTGCTATATGGCTATATATATAGTTTCTAAATGAGCTAATTCCTTAAGGAAGGAAAGAAGTAATCAGTAATATATTTATTAGTGTCCTATTAGCTGCCATCATATAAACCTGTAGGCTATTCACTTGGAGTTTAAACACTGTTGATGTTAGCTTCTAAAAATCCAGTCCTGGCATACAGGCCAGTTTCCTTCCAGGTCACCTGTGTGGTCCCATCAAGATCAAAATCCTCAAAAGAAGCTGCATTTCTCACAATTCTCCAGCAGTTTTTTATTTAAGCAATCTATGTAGAGTGGGCTGCCTACCCAGATGAGCTGTTGGGATTGTACCAGCCTCTGTTTTTACAGCCTATTTTAGGAATCCAGATGAAAATGTCAGATTTAATCTAACCACACATTGCAAATGTTTCTTTAGATGTCATTGATGGAGGTGAGATATAGACATCTCGCTCTGGACAAAGTGATAACCTTAAGTGATGATCTCCTCTGGAAGTAGATATCTAAATGGGCCATATGAGTTTTGTCCTTAAAATTGCCTGTTTCTCCCCATGGACTATAAAGGCTGTCTAAGATGAGTTGCTTTATATAGAGACATGTACAGTGCAAGTGTATTTCTGTCTATGATCTGTGCAAGATTTTTATATCATACAGATGATAACCTATATATAATAATAGAAGAAATTATGGGTGTATCTGTCCTAACCAGCCACTCAGAAGGAGAAACTGCTGAAGTAAATCTCTGGCTTTGTTTTTCTAAGATTTGTTAAATGTAAAATTAATATTAAGAGTGAATTACCAAGTTTGTTGGAGTTGGATCTATTTCCAGCTGTGTCCCACTTCTCTTGACAAAGTGAAAAAGGAAATAAGTGATGAGAATTACGTTTCATGAGTGTGGTCAGATAAGCTCAGGCTAGAAGATATAGAAGGGTTCCTTTTTTGTTCTAATAAGCAGGAACTTGGTGTACAAGGTGAAGACTTAACTCATCTACTGTTGCAGCTTCTCCCAAATGGGTACTTTTACACTCCAGATTCCTTAGTTTTTGAGGTACGCTGACTGGACAGTGCCTGTGTTTGTTTTCTAACATGAGTATTTCCCTGGCAGTGGAGCAGAATCCATGGCATGCCTTCCTCCATCTTGTGCAAATGATCTGTCAGGCTGGTCCAGTACCCTCTATAGCCTGATTGGGTCTAAAGAACGTCAGTTCAGCTTAGAAGCTTTTGAAAATACCATTTTTATTTTTTTTTGGCAATTAGTTGTCTGTGTTATTTCTGGAGCTCCATAGGTGCACTAGGTTACTGTTGCTACCGTAGCTTGGTCTGAGCACTCTTTTAATTACCCAGGGGCATAGGAGTCCATAGAACGGTGCTGGCAACCAGCCTGGGTTCCCTTAGGAAAGGAGCAGCACAGTGGGATGGGGCTTTATAACCTCTGTGGCTGCAAGGTGTTTAGAGGAGGAATGTAATGGCTCTGGATAGTCAGGTGCTGTAGGATAGTTTTCTCTGAAGTGAAGCAGCCTAAGCTGATAGAGAGTTTGGAGTATTTTTGGTTTGGTTTTGTTTGTTTGTTTGTTGTTAACGTGACATTTGACTTGTTAGGAAAAAGATGTACCAGAGGTGAATCTTCTTTTGCTGTTTAAAGCATGCTTTTTCTATGTGATTTGTTATTTTTCTTTTTTTTTTTCTCCCCAGTTTTTGTAGTGAAATAACCAAGAAACTCTGGAAACAGTATTTTTGTGGTTTTGTTTATTTTTGACGCATAGAATGGCATTACAGTGATTCCATGACTGATTGCCTGGGTTGTTTGGAAACTGCAGGGCTCGATGGATTTGTTTCTTTATTTAAACTTTAATAAATAAATTGTATTCATTATAGTGGAAAGCCTGCACACTGGTGTGATGGAGTTCATATTTCTTGTTTTATATTTTTCTTTTTTTATCTGCCTCTGTGCTTTGGTGTGCCTGTATTTTTCTGGCTGCCAAGAAATGACATATAAGCATGAAGGTAAGAAGTTACTGATTAGCTTATCTGATTGCATTACAAGGAAATCCATCTTGGATCATTTTCATCATGTTAGGTTAAGTACTTGAACATGAGATATTTACATTTAAAGTGAAACTGCTTTATCAACAGAGAAATCAGATTATTTGTATGTAAGTATATCTAATCCAAACCATTAAAAATACGAGGTTACATTGAAATTTGCGTATAATATAGTCTATGTGTCACTATTGATTTATAACATTCTAAACTTCGATGTTTACTGAGCACCATACTTCAGTAGAAGCATTAATACTTGAGTTATAAAGACCTAATGCATAATTTTACTTTAAATTATGTGAAAACTTTGATATAAATCCACATGAAAAATACTTGCTATTAAATGCATGGCAGTAGTCAGAGGAAATTAGAATTTAAATGAGAATTTTTCAGCAATTTACATAACTATTTTCTCAGTTATGAAGTCATAATTTAGAAGTAGCAAATGTGCAAATCAATATAAAAGAATCTGTAAGTTAATTAAAAACGTTCCCATTGTTAAGAAAAGTTTGAACGAAACTTGAATGAAAATAGTGTATATTTACAAAAATCCAGTGAGTATTGTACATGTTTGTATATACTATTCAAAAAGCGTTGTGATTCAGCTTTTGAGCTATATGTGGAATCTCCCTTGGAGCTGGTCTTTTTATTTATGCCTTATTATTTGTTACAGTGTTCAGCAACAAACTTTGAATGAATCAGATGGGGTTTTTTTCCCTTTTTTTCCCTCTATACAGCCGTTCCCTTACCAGTTAATTTGTTCTAGTTTTGCTGTGAATCACTTCTTGTAGCTAGATGCTTCATGGCCTAGATGATCAACAATAACACCAGCTATTTTGTAATTATGTCACGGAGCAATTTATACATGTGCAATTAATACACAACAGTTAAATACCTTATCTCTATTTCTATGGAATGTATCTGCTCCACAAAATGATAAATGTACAGCTTCTCTAGAGAGGGAGGAGTCATTAAAAATAAATAAGTGGTTCACTCATAACTCCAAATATTATAAGCAGTCTGTATAGCATTTAACAGTTTTTGACTTTTAACTCTCCTTGAAGTGTTGGGGTTTTGTAGTGTGATGGGAAATACTAATTTTCTTTCATGATTCCCTCCCATCTAATAATCAAGTGCTTTATTTATTAATATATGCAAATTATTTTTCCATACTTTCGCTGCTAGTGAAATGTTTAAATGCAGCTAGTATCCTTTGTCAAAATAACAGCATTGCTTTAAGTGTCTTCTCAAACCTCTATAAATTTATGTAAAATCAAGCCCACTGTTGTTTTACTACTGTTTTTTCACTCCGTGAAACAGTGTGCATAGGGGTATGCATGCGGGGTTAAAGGAAGATACATACCTAAGCTGAGTTACCTACAAAAGTGGCTGTAGTTTGTGGTGGCAAAAAGCCCCACAGGTATAAGTCTTATTGTCAGGTTTAACTAAGCTGCTGCTGACCTTCATGGTACTGTGTTCTCTGTGCCATATACATGATAATAAATTGGAGTTTTGTTCATCTTTTAGTAGTCCCTCCTACCAGCCTTTTCAAAGTCAAGACTTGACTCTTATTTACTTTGTCAGCCCTCAAACCTATACTTGATTGAGGGTTTTGTTTGAGCCTTGCTTGAGTGCGTTTGTAATTTTTGAGGCCAAGCACCCTTGAAGCAGGAGGCATGAGCATGGTCAGCTGTTCTTCAGTCCTCTAGCTTAGCCTTGGCTAGGTTACTCCAAAGCACAGGCTGCTTGTTCTGAGCCCCATCCACAGACAAGCTGGTACGGGCAGAAGAGCAGGATATAAAAGTATTGGCATAAGAATCTGCATGCAGCTTCATTTTGGGTTTACTCAGCATCTTTGAGTAAAAAGTATCCACGCTGCAAAATGAGGATGTGGTTTTCATGAAAGGCTCTTGGGTTTTGTTTACCTGCCATCAATCATCTACCACTATATAATCTACCTTCATCTTTATGAAACTGTATCTGCTCATCCGTTTGGAGTCAGAAAGTGTTTCCTGATAAGTTGACCTGGCAATCCAAATTTTAAATTTGTCTTCCTTACAACTTGAAGGTAGCACCATTTCTTTAGCCCCTTTTTTCAACTCCTAATATTTACTGGTAGTGTTACTGTTAGATGATTGTAGATTGCAACCAGTATTTAGTGTGGAAGAAATGCTGGATGGGCCATCTCCCGAGGACTTACTACACCTCAGTTTTTGTGGTGAACCTTTGTTCTGAAATGTTTGTATTCTGAGTGTGAGAGAACACATCGGCTTTCTGGTTATGTCTTTATATTTCTAGAATAGAGCTTAAACCTCTTCCCGATGTCCTTCGTTTTGGTAAGTAGGACAAAATGGTGAACAAACTGGTGTAGCATGTAGAATGCTGGGGGAAAGGAAATGTTTGTCTAAAGCACCTTAGACATAGCTCTGCCTGGTGAAAGGATCACAGTGCTTCCTAACAACTGAGAGCAATGTGTCTTTACAGCATTTTAGTACTATAACTGCGATCCTTTTCTTGTGAATACACTAAATAGTGGCCTAGTAGCCTGCAAAAGGAAAGTTGTTTCTAAAGATTGTTCAGAAGCTCTTTGTCTCCTGTGCTGCCTCATTTTTATCTGTAGGCATATGGATAAGCACAGTCTATTTGGAAAAGATGTAGCTTTGGCATAGGTTGGGTTTTTTTGAGTGCATAACATCCTTTCACAAAGAGATTTTAGCAGAACCAGATAATTTAAAAATGCAGTCTGAATGAAATTTTTGAATTATTATTTGAAGGGCTCATCTTAAGTGAAGCAATTAAGTGGTTCAGAACAGGGCCTTAAAGCTGTCTTTGGTAGTTTGAGTGGGATTAACCATACTGTGAAACTGTGATGGAGTTGTTTGGCTTAAAGAGTGATGAGACTGTGACCTGATGGACCATGGTAACCAGGGCTAAAGACTGTAAATGGAGAGCATGGTGTCATGCATGCAGGCACCAAGTCACACCTATGAGCCTGATTTTATGATACCACTTAAATCCAAGTAGAGTATTTTGGCTGTTAAAAGAGACCTGTGCTGAGCCAAAAGAATATATTAAGCACTGTAGGGCTTTGTGAGAAAGTGAAGACAGTACTTTGTAGGCATACTGGAAGAATATATAAAGTTAAGTATGTCTAGAAGACTGTGGGGAATGATAAATATTTGGCATTCATCACGAGATAGAGCATTATAGATAAAATAAAACCTTTCAGTATCTTGAATGAAATTGATAGCTTACCATTCCACTCACTTAGCCAGTTTGGCTTTGCTGAGATGTAAGATGTCTGATATTGTGAACTCATAGGAACTGATTTTTTTTTTTTCCTTTAGACTTTTTTAATGAACAGGGCTATTATCTTCTCACATACAACCCGTGGTTTGTTTTTTGGTTTGTTTTTTTTTTTTTTCCACATACAACCCGTGGTTTGTTTTTTGTTTTGTTTTGTTTTTTTTTTAAGAAAAACAAACTGACATCAGGATCTGTGATTCAACATCAAGCAGCACCAAAAAATATAGAGATGGATAGACAGATTTTTCTCCATTTTTTTTAAAGCCGCCTCTCTCCACTACCGTTCCTGTCTAGGATGCTTGATAACCTGACTCCATTTTTTCAGCAACACCCTTTTTTTTTCTTTTCTTAATTTTCTTGCTTCTCTGAATTTGTTTTGCATTATTAGAACACTTGCATGGTGTAAAAAGTTAGGCTTTCTATTGATTAATAACAGTTCACTTTTTTTATTGCTATTTGGCAAGGAAATATACTTGAAAACAAATTTGAATGCTGCTGCTTTCTGAGCTTGTTAGGAAACTGATGGAAAGGGCACTCTTAAAGTGGTGAAAGAATCATTGCAGTTGTGATGTTTCATATAAAACATCACATTTTTCACAATGAATATTGTACTATTCACTTCATTGGCTACTCATTTTCACTAGTTTTTTGTAAGCATGCATTTAATTGATTACATTGTGTAAAATTTTTTAAATCTGCATTGAAATGCTGGTTTTCCCTAAGCATATTTCTTTTGTTTAGTCGTAATATTGGAGCAAGCTTTTGAAAAAAATGAGAATGATGGTATTAAAAAAAAAAAGGAAAGCAGCAATTTATATTTTTAAGTAGCATTTTCAAAATAGATATAATAAATTAATCTTTTTTTTTCTTCCTTTCTAAAATTAGTATGAATGATGAAATTTGTCCCACAGTGTTCTTTGGAATATTTTTTCCCTTTTGGTTCTGTATCTTATAAGTTACATCGTACTGGGTCACTTCTGAATAGATACTGCGTTCCTTTACTGTGAATCTTGTAAGATCTGTATGATTTTCGTAATTAGCTTTATACTTTTGCTGAAGTATTATTCTATTGGCAATGACCCAGTGCTATGTGCACTTCAGTTCTTGGAGGTTCTTACACAAACAATGTTGAAAAAGTAGCAATTCTGATCAGAGAACAAGGCTTTACAATGGAACCTTTTTTCTTCCTAAATAATGGTCAGAGAAGACCTTGGCAACTGCTTACTGGGTCACTGGGGTTTTCCAACTGTTTTGCTAGTAACTAAGAAAAACTAACTTTTCAGAGGCATGTTGTGGAGACATTTTTTGGATTTGATGAAGAATCTGTTGATTCAGAAACATCATCTGTAACTTCATATAACACAGATAAAACAGACAGGACACCAGCAACACCAGAAGAAGATTTGGAAGATGTAAGTAGTAGATGATTTGTTCTTAAGTTCTATAAAAATTGACGATGAGGTATAAATGCAAACTTTTTTTTTTTTTTTCAGCTATTCTGCCACAGGAACTATGAAAGATTTGGCAGAGAATTGCTTTGTTTTGTTTCAAGTCCAGTAACGCATCCACAGTCATTGCAATAGGATTAATAAGATAATATTCTGCCTGACAGATCTGGCGGATATTGGGCTGAGAAATAAAATTGTTTTTCTCAAACCCTTTCTTATTAGTCTAAAGAAAACAAATAGAGGCATGTTGCTTTGCCAGAAGTCAATAGTTACCAGACAATAGTTTGCCTTTCAACCTTGTAATTTATTTGACTGGTTTGATACCACCAGGATTTTCTTTCTGTACTTCCAATACTCAGTGACTCTTTTGCAATTCATTAAGGCTTAAATGATCATAGGTAGTAAATACCCACTGACAAGTTTTGTCTCAGCTCTGTGGTATACACTGCAGCTGGCTTACTTTAAAAGATTGCAGGGCTGAGGACAAAGTATGAATTAGATGCTCTTTTTCATCTTTCTTTCCTGTTCACTAACTTGTGCCTAATACTCCCAAGTCACAAGAAGCTTCCTATTTTTCTGGGTTTAATATCTGATAATATTGTAATGTCTTTCCCTTGGAGCTCAAGTTCCTGGAGCAAAAATTAATTGAAGGGAAGGCCATTTCTTGCCCTCAGCATTATAGGAAAGACCTTGAAAGTGTTGATGTCAGCTGCTCAAAATGCAAAGAAAATTAAGACATTAAAAATACTTCATGTTAAAAAAAAAAAAAAAAAGAGAATGTAAAAAAACCATTCCTCTGGTCAGCATCTTCAAATACTTTAATCCCTATAGGGCAATCAGGCAGAAAAGTTTCTCTGAAGCCCCTGTGGCTCTGGCGTTGCTGAACTTAGTGGTGCACAGAACTGTGCTTCTCATCTTTCCCCAGTTGGTTTCTCCCCATTTCTGTACATTACTACCTGATATAATAACTTACACTGTCCTGAAATTGTAAGGTAGACACAGTTACTAATCTCTGCATTTCTGCATCATCCTCAAATCGTCCTTCCTTCCATTTCCAATTGTTTTTAAAACTTGTTTTTTAAACCTTTATTAAACTTTGAGACTCAGTATGAGTTGTGTTGCTTGTTGTGTTTGTGAGTCTATCTGTCTATATAAACAAACCCATTATCGTACATATTTATACAAACCCACTTTTTTTTCCCTCTTCATTAAGAGCACGCCTAAAGAAGAAGCTGAACTAAGGTTCTGCCAGCTAACGAGAGAGTATCAGGCTTTGCAAAGAGCATATGCATTGCTTCAAGAACAAGTTGGTGGAACCCTGGATGCAGAGAGAGAAGCAAGGGTAATTTTTATATTGAAATGTCTTTTAACTCTGAAAACATTGAAAAAGCTGAAAAAACTTGGAGTAGCAGGAGATATCTTTCCAGGTCATTGAAATGCAAAGCACAATGTTTTTGAAGATTAGAGGATATTATCGGTAAGGGGTCAACTCAGACTTATCTGGTGCAATCAGAGCAAAGATATCATTATACTTTATTCTAGCATGTGTAATATATTAAAGATTTCATTAGTAAGACAGTGTTATTAAGAATGATAACCCAACTGAACCTGCAATTTGGATAGCAACATGATGGATTCAAAATGAATCAGAGAATAGGTTGTTATAAGTACTTAGGTACTTTTATCAGATGAGTATATTAAAAATCTGAGCCAAATCTGACAAAGGAAGTTTTTCTTTAAGTGTTTTGCTGAATATACGAAATCATAATTTGTTTTTAAAAACCTCAGATTGAGAGTATTCTTCCACTAAAAAGTACATAGCTAACTGTTGTTCCTATTAGGTCAGCATTTGTAATTGTTTACTCTCTCTGAAATAAGTGGGGTTTTACCCCCACAGCAATCTCTGTACTATAGGTATTACCCTTCTGTCACCACTGTGTTTAGCCATGTAATGCTGAGGTGAGGTCAGCAGAAGTCACACTAACATCTTCCTTTCTGTTTCTTCCAAAGTGGGAGGGGAGAAATGCCTTCATAATGAATTGGTGAGCTCTGACTAAGTCCCCGGATCTATTCACTGAACAGTAGTGGCTGAGTTAACTAGAGGCAAAATTTCCTCTACTTTATCCCAACTCCTTGCAGATAGAGGCATGTCTAGAAATGTAGTGTATTTACAAGTCAACCTCTACTTGAATGACTATTGTGATCGGTGACCAAAGAATATGTAAGATCCAAATGGGCAAGAATAGCCATAGGGATGGAAACTTCATCATCTTTACCTCATGTCCTTCATTCTGCATCAGGTACAGCTTGAACCTGTAGATTACTGACTGATGAGAGAGTTGACTGATGTCATTGCGAGGCCACTCACAATTATCTTTGAAGGGTCATGGCAACTGAGGGAGGTTTCTGAGGACTGTAAGAAAGCAAATGTCACTCTTGTCTTCAAGAAAGGCAAGAAGGAGAGGTTGTGGAGTCTTCATCTCTGGAGATATTCAGAACCCCACTGGATAAGGTCTTGAGCAACCTACTCTAGGTTCCCCCCTGCTTTGAGCACAGGGGTTGGACAGAAGATCCCTTCTAACCTCAATGAGACTGTGCTTCTAAAAAGCATTTAAGCATTAAAACAAACCCTAACCTACTTCCCCCTCCAGAAAACCCCTGAACCCCCAAAGTGGAGAAACATGTTAAATATTGTGAATTATTACATATTACTGCCTTGCTACATGTGGCCTTCATTGTATTGTGCCACTGCAACATGTTGCTAATAATACAGAATGTGGTTTAAAAATTACTGATGGGGATGGACTCCATTTATCCCAGAGGTAGGAGCTGCCACTAGTTTAGTGGTTCCACTGCTTAGATTGCTGATGGTTATTGGGCATGCATACATGGGCGCTATTTCATCCATGTCATTTTCTCTGGCAAACATTTTTAAATCCACTCTGCGTGTTAATAAGCAAAACTTTCCAGATAAGAGTTACAGAAGAATGTAGACTGCTTGACATTATCTGGAGTTATTTATAGCTAAGAGTGTTAGTCTGTTATCCCCAGAGCCAATATTTAGAAGATTCAGGGTTTACTTTAAAACGTGTCAAGTTTTGGTTTGAGTTTTTTGGCCAAGGTTCTTTGAAGTGGCTCTCAACCAACATTATTTTTTTTTCTGTGAAATACAGTTCTTATAATAGTAGAATTATTGCTTAATGGCTTTATTTGTTAGAGTTCTCAGCATCTTACAAAAGCCTAGCTGCATTTGACACTCTCTTTTAAAGTAGGACACTTAGCCAAGGAAAGCAATAAGTACTTTGAAGATCACTCCTCAAGCTAGAATTGGGATGGGGAGCATAATTACATCTACTATTAGAGTAAGATTTCAGAGACACTCATGTATTTGATAATTATGAGAGACCATTATATATTTCCTTTGGCTTCATGGGAAGGGAGACCCCAGTATAGATATTTTTGGAAAAGCTTTTTAAAATTTTATTTGGCAGGCATTAGCAAACTGTCCCTTTAGTACACTTTGGAATGGTTGCTCTTTCTTTTTAATGGTATTTTGGTTTCTTTTCTCACATCCATGCAAATCCATCTTTTGAGTGAGTCAGAAGGTAACTTTCTGCATGGTTAGTTTTGTAGGGCCCAGTGTTCTGGTGGGATGGACATTTCCTGTTACTTTTAGATGAGGTTTAAGGTAAACAACAAGGACCCAAAGATGCAAAGATGCAGAAGGAAATCCCTGTAGGAGTTTTTTAACTGCTTGGATGAAAGCATACCTGAAGTAGTGTGGGAAAAGCCTCAGTGACTGAAGGGCTCCAGAGATATCCTTTGGTTTGTACCCTTTTTGTTTAGTACATTGTACGGTCCAGTCCCTTTTAGGGCATCACTGGACTCAGGGGGTAATACCTACTGTAGTATAATAGTCAGTGTAATGATTATGTAGAATGAGGAAAATTGACTGGTGTAAGCTGTTTATGGGATACATCAATTAATTTGGGTCAATATATTCTATTTATCTATTGGCCTTTTTTAGTGCTTATTGCAATTCTCTTTCTCTCTTGCCCCCTTTTTCCCAATTGCTTTGAATTACCAAAGCTTATGAATAGCTTTTTAGAGCTCTTTCAGTTCCTAACTTTTTTTTTTTTTTTTCCTTGGGAAAAGTTTTCTCACTGAATATGTGATGATAACATCTTTTTAGGCTAGGAAGGAAAAACGCTGTTAAACTGATGGCTTTAAATATTTTGTAACATCAACACAAAGGCAATTATTTTAATGAAAAGCATTAAAAGCTGACTGGACAGCCCAGAAGTGGGTAGAAAGTACCTTGACTTTGATTCTGTGTGTAATTAAATCTACCTGTCTATCTGGATGTGCATGCATATATATACACACATTTTTTAATATTTTTTTTCCCCAGACTCGTGAACAACTGCAAGCCGATCTTCTTAGGTGTCAGGCAAAAATTGAGGACCTGGAGAAAGCTCTAATCGAGAAAGGACAGGTAAAAGGCTCTCTTAATGTCCTCTACCACATCATTTTCTCCCTTGCATGCAGTGGTGCCCTTGCCATCTTCATTGCTTGCTGGTGTGTTAGCGGGACTGATGCAGCTTAATTGCTTCTCCAGCAATAGATTACTTAAATAAAGGAAAGTATTATAGAGGCTAAGAAAATGCCATTAAAGATTCATTTTCTAAGACATAATACACTAAAGCATAATATTGCAATAACCGTGTGTACATGCATTGTAAATTCTGTTCCCATTACCATTTGGTGAAGGCTTTTCTCCTGTTTTCCATTTTGTTTATATTTGCTATAAATTCCAATAAAATAAATATTCTATATTTGTACTGGAGAATATTTTTGGTGTGTAGCATAGAGAAATTCAACAAACAAATCAGTTCCACTCATGCTTCAGCTAGAGAAATGAACCCCTTAGTGTGTCTGCTTACTGGAAGCCACTTGCAGTGTTACTCTCCTGGGCTTACATTCTTGGGGGACCCAACTACTTTCAAATTCACGTACCATCATCCACAGTAAAATTGGGCCTTATGCTTCAGTATGTCTTGTAAATACCTGACAAAGGTGTGGCTACTGATGCATATTTAATAATGTCTAGGTTCTGAAGGCCCAGAATTAAGAATTATGAGAGTGCATTTAAAAGATGCTTGGTTTCATAACCGCTAGAACACACTGAGAAAATTGGGGAGGTGTTATTTAATGCTTTATTGTTTGAAATAACAATTTTAAAATTGCAGGTAGCATATTGTAGTAAAATAAGATATAGCTATCTATAGATACACATTTCAAAGACTAATGATCCTGTAGCATTGAATAAAAGCAACCTACAAATAATGCCAAGTTAATGATATTAGTATTTTTATGGTATATTCTTTGTAAGAAAAAACTTTCTGTAAAATTCTGTATAAATACCAAAGTTTGGGGACCATATTCAAATTAAGGATATAAATTGTTTATGCTCACTCCCACACAAACTTCAATTTGCTTAGTAAATTCCATGTACATAAAATATTAGTAAAAACAGAGAATATGTTATCAGCCTAAAAATGATGGCTCACTGAGCTTTTGGAAGAATAAATGGAACTGAAGACCTCTTGAGGATCTACTGCTGACGTTTTAGTGTGTTGATGAAAAAGGTGTTGTGGGCAAAGTACTGTGTAATTGAAAACATTAACAAAATAGTTGACTATTACAGTGTAATAATAATAATAATAATAATAATAATAATAATTACTGTGTGTGTAAATAAGATAAGGGAACATGGATACCCATGTAAGAAATTACTTCTGTGATTTTGCTTCCAGAATGGTATGTCAAAAAGGTATGCCTAGAAATTAGAATTTAATCAGTTATTACTTTATGAGATTCATAACCACATCTTCAACCTTGTATCTCTTAGTAATCCTGAGAAGGCCAACAGGGGCGTGACAAGGAGCAGTATAATATTGTCTCTAGTGGGCTAGTCTGTATGTTGAGCATTAGCTTTCCACAGAAGTGGTGACAGTGTGTTCCTGGGAGCTCTAGCTCCTGCTCAGTTCTCCTGACCTGTTAGTATCTACGTTCAACAAAATAAATGGTTGTGATGATAAACTGGCTTCTTTGTGCACTATGTGATTTTTTTTTTTAAATTATTATTACTTTGTCATGTAGGTGCCCATGGTAGTGATGATGATGTAATAATACTTGGGAAATGTTCCATCGGGGAACCAGTCCCTAAAGTGCTTTTGAAAAGGAAAAGGTGAATCAAAAGATCCTAGTGCATTATCCCAGGAATTTTTAGTCTTACTTACAGCTTTAGAAAACAGAAGCAGCAAAGACCTTCACAATTTTCCTAAAGTCAAATACAGAGCAGGAGATTAGAATCTTATTGTTAAAAAATTATTTGAAGCTTGGCTTACAACAAATTATTTGTAATTTCAAAGTAAGTGTCAGTGGCTCTTGTTAATCTCTCATAGCTCAATCTGCCAGAATTCCACTAGATGTAAAATAAGACTAATAATCCATTTCTGCAAGGTGCTTGCATAAGAAACATTCTATTAAGGAAAGAAATTCTTATAAAATATTAATAGTGGTATATAATAAATCTCAAAATATTGGAGTATGTAATGTGCCAGGTGGATTTTTTTTTTTAATGCTCAGCTCTCTCAGTGGCCTGGTGTGTGTATATAAATACAATCCCAAATTAAGATCTTCTCGGAAAGTCGAATTGAACTAACTTCATCAGGAAAGACACAAAAGCTAATTAAGGGCAAATTAATCAATTTTTTTCTACTTGTGTGAACTGGAGTAGTTGAACCTGCAGGTCTGACATAACTGTTGAACCTGCCCTTTACCATAGGCATGCATTGGGATATCCACCCTAAGGCTGTGGGTGCAACTCTTTGTTCATTCCTTGACCTTAGTAAAATGCTAGTTAAGTGTTAAACTAGACATTGGACTTTATTGTCAACATTTCCTTTAGTTGTTTCATGCCTTTTCAGTACTTATTTTACTATATTATTTAGTATGATGCTTTTAACACCATAACTCTGAAGGGCTTGTTTACTGCATGAAAGTTAAAATGCACTTGTACATTCTTGTATATGAGTGGAAAGAGGAGAAAGAACAGTAGTATATGTAAATGCAGTGAACAGTAGGTAGAAAAACTAACTTTAAACTTTTTTTAAAAATGTAAATATTACATCCTAATTTTTTGGATATTTTTGGTTGATGTTTCAAGGCTAGTTAATGGGCTGGGATATGCAGATTTCATTGACTCCTTGTGTAGCATCAGTGTGCAAATACCTTGCTGACAAAGAAAATATCAGCCCTAATACTTTAGAAAAGACATTTAGATTTTAAATAAGTTATCTTTTTTTAGCTAGAAAATAATTTGATCTGGAGTTAGTATGGCGTATTAAGTGTTGGACATTGTTTTATTAAACTTATTAGAGCAGTATGAGCTGGGTTATGTAAATAGTTTACAGGGAGAACAGACTGAATATGGCTGTTAGAATCCATTAAATCTGAATGTCCAGCTACGGCTGGCAGTGAGTTTTTGTGACTTGGGTCTTTAAAGGGATATTTGATGAGGCCTTTTGAAGCCATGGAAAAACCTAAAAGCAAAGATCAGCTCTGGAACAAATGATCAAATGGAAATATGGTTTTCATATAGAGTATAGTATATCTTATATCACTTCCCTTCTTCCATAGCCTTGAACTCCTTATCACAAACACTGTGTATTAGCCTGATTCTCACACTTTTAGCAGAGGGCAATTAACTGCATACCACTGAAGCTTATTTTCAGTCATTTGGGGTAATTAAATGTTTTTCTTCCCTTTCTCCATTGGGATTTGCATTACACCACTCAAAATGGGATTATTTTGCAAGAAAGTTTCCAACTCTTTGCAATGGAAAGAAATAGTTTTGAGTTAAGCTGAGTAAATAAATGTTTTTAAAATGACATAAATGTGTGTTCACCCACAATTGCTATATGTAAAGATTTTAAAGTATATGCTTAGCTGGAACATACTAGGAAACAAGAGACTCAGCTTCAGGAAAAGAAAGGAACTTGTATTTTCTCTGTAGCTTAAATGCTATGTATCCTTGAAATATTTATGAAAGCTTTACTTTTTGATGTGTGAGCATTTTTATACTTGGCTGTACAATGGTGTCTGAAATCTTTGAATTATTCTGGTTATTCATTTGTCTTGTTTAAAAAAAATATATAATTGTAATATTTGAATCTTCTTCCTCATAGGATTCAAAATGGGTAGAAGAAAAGCAGATGTTAATCAGAACAAATCAGGAGTTGCTAGAGAAGGTATGTGTTCAGAATCTGGGAATATTTTCACAATTGTTGCCCTTTATCATAAGAGGAATGGTAAAAGAAAATGAATGTATGAAGTCCTGGAACATCAACATGAAAATTTCTTACTTTATTTCTCTCCAGAAACAGAAATTTGGATAAAAGTCTCTGATTAAAATACCAATATGCTTTTACTCTTTGGGAATGGAAGCTGCTCTTTACTGTGGAATTACATGTTGTATAGCCAATAGTAGAACCCAAGATGGCTGATATTTCTAGTGTCCAGAAAAATACAATCTAAAATATTAAGCGCAATGTGGAGTCTTGTTTTTTGCCAAACAGTTACACAAAGATTATTACTGTCATGATCACTAGTGAAACTGCCTGCTCCCTTCAGCCTTCCAGTTTTTACAGTTTTTCCACACATTAAGTAATATTGATTGATTTAAGACTATTGTATCATTTACTGTGTGAGATACTCAGAGCTGAGTATCCTCATTGTTCTTCACTGATATTGGTGAAAAGTTAGCTAGTACTCAGGAAGCCAATTATGTTTGGTAATTATTTACTCAGTATTAATATAGTAGGAATAAGACAACCAAAGAAAAATTCATGACTAAAAGTAGCTACAGATGGACTTAATTTATTCAGACACTTACATGGTTATTATAAGTGTTATAGTACATTATGCCGGATGTTACACTTCTATTTAGATTCTTACAAATAAAGAGATCACCTAGTTAAGCTAGTAGACCAAAGTTATTAGTTGGCATAATGAATAGTCAATTTTGAATTTCTGCTGTTGTTAGTGCCCCAAAGCACAAATCTGGAAAATTAAAAAGTAGGCATTAAACCCCCTCCGTTATTGTTTCATATACCGTAAAAACTAGATGTCTAGTTATGCAAAGACATAGCCCAACTTCTAATGAGAAAGTGAAATAATTAACAGTTTTGTCTAAACTGCTGGCCCATAACTCTGTACAGTACCTTTTCCATTGCTTACGGGGTGTTACGATGTTGTGTTTGTCTCATAGATTTACAGAATGGAACAGGAAGAGCATCAGCTGAAGAATGAGATGCAAGATGCAAAAGACCAGAATGAGCTGTTAGAATTCAGAGTGCTAGAGCTTGAAGTAAGAGATTCTCTCTGTTGCAAACTCTCAAATGGAGCAGAAATTATGTTTGAACCCAAGCTGAAATTCCTGTAAAGGTTACTGATGTCTGGTGCATGTTTAAGGGAGATCACTTAGGTATCTATTTTTTAAATGTTGTATCTTGGGATAATGAAATTGATACCACTGCCTTAATATGTTTTGGAGAAAGTGCTCACTAATGTTTATAAAGATGTAATATAGCTAATATATATTGCATATAGTTTGTTTTTCATCTAATAAAATATTTTGTTTTGCAGTATTTTGCCTTTTTTATTTGTTTCATTTCCATAACTGCTCCTTTCCTGCATGTAAAATCACTTGGTATGTATACTACAGCCTTGGTTGACATTGTTTAAATTAACACACCTTCTCACGTCTTGCATGCAGTGAAATCTAAAGATCTGACACATCCATCACATCAATCTAGAATTGCTTTTAATTACACTGATTTAAGATTGACAACATTAATATGAAGTAAAATGATCTTAAAAGAATATGTTTCGATAGCAGCTTTGAAAGAATTTCTCTTACCTGAAATCCATTTTCTGATGGTATAAAATGGTCACGGACTGGAAATAATTGGCATTAGTCATTGAAAAAATGGAAGAAACCCCTCTGAGAATGTCCAAGTTAAAGTGGTGAAGCACAAGTACAACTTCTGTACATGGAAGTAGTATGTTGCCTGTAGCAAACAAATTCTATCCTTTGCATAAATGAAGTAACAGTGAAATTATTTGAACATGTAACATGTGATTACAGTAGAAAGCAGTGGTTCTCATCACCTCGTAAATAGGGCCCATGTCAAATTTAATAACACTAAACTACTCATGTGTGATGCACAGCTGTCACATGGTCGCATTGCCCGATAACACATTGTTCAGTTTCAAAGATCATCAGCATTCTTAACACCATTTAAAATAAACTCTCCCAGAAACCTGTCCTTGTCACTCCTCCATAGTTTTCATCACCCAGCACGTTTCACCAAAAATCTTGGCATGTGTAACTTCTCTGATAAAGATGAAAAAGTCACGTCTTCCTGTTATGTGGATGTTCTGCTTTTTGTCTTTGACATTTCTTAATCTTTTTTTAAACCTTTACTTTATCAACCATATATTTTGATGTCATAGCCCATTATATTCAAAATTATGAATTTAGGTTATTAGAATTTCAGTAGATGTTTAGGAAAACAAAAATGCTTTCTAATATATGTCTTTATATTTTATTAAGCAACTGTGAAGTAAAATACTGAACAATTTAGCATTTGAGTCGGCAGTTACACTAGAAACTGCTTCCTAAAGTGTAAGAGTTCTTAGAAGTAGAACAATCAAAAAAATTTTCTCAGGAAAAGAAAAAAAAGAGCTTTGATACATCCATCATGAATGTCTTTTTCACATGGAAGAATCACATGAAAAATAGCTCAGTGTGATGTGTCAAGTTTTGTCATGTGCCAAGTCCTTAAGAACTTATTTCACAGAATAACACTGGAAGTACTTTTGTGTGATTGCAAGAGAAGATTTTCTTCCTTACTAGGCAAGCATGTAGGCACAAGTGTGACTGACAGTGTGAATGCTTCAGTAAAATCATGAATGCTTCTGGTAATCATGACAGTGGTTTTTTGAGAGGAAGTAAATTATTTCGGATGAAACTTAGGCTAGAGTAGAATATACAACCATTTGTCTATCATTTAATGCAAGCAAATTCAGGTGAGTTTAATGCAATAAAATATTTTTTTTTAAAAAAAAATCTAAAATGGTCACTGAATTTGCACAAGAATTAAGCTTCTGGGTTTGGGTTACAACAGCTAGGTCATTTAAGCCCATTTCAAAATTAGACTGTTAATGCAAAAATCATTCAAAATAGAGCCTATGAGGGAGAAAAATGTATAGAGTACAGAGGTTTTTCCCTCTACATTGTAGTTTCAAATTAGGTTTAAGCTAGTTAATGAACAAGAGTTGCCATGCTTTGTAACTTACGTGGATAGATGCAGCCTGCTTGCCATATCAGTTAAAGCACCTTATTTTGTGATACAGGAAATTGGGCATTGCATGGATGGTCATAGGAACTAAAATATCTGCAGTAGCGCTCTTTCATTATACTGTCAGAAACTGAAGCTCTTGTCAGTGCCTCCTCATGTAATGTGGAGAGGAAATCTGATTTTCCTTACTTGTGTTCCCATGGCTATAGAGAATTCAGAGTAAGACCCAGTGCCTTGGTTGCCCAGAGCCTTCAATCCAGTCATTTTCACCAGCACATTAAAATTTAATTTAAGTAAAATAGCTTATTGGTTGTTTTACTCTATTTCTGCCTTCTGAAGAAATAATAGGTTGGTATATTGAAGAAACACATGGAAGTCAAGTAGATGGGCTGGATAATTTTTAGAAATACTATTCTTTTAGATAAATGGGAATTTATAATTTTTAGTTTTAGCACAAAGAACATCGTAAGGATAGAGTAGTGCTGCCTTTCAACATCTTGGGTTGTGCAATGAATAGGACTGGGGATTTTACATGCTCTAATAGAAAGGTTAACTTTGGAATAAACAGGGAGCAGATACATAGCTTCAATTTTATTGAGAGTATCTTCAGTGATAATAGTATTTCATGATGGAATTTAATTGTTTTCCTGCAGTTTCTTCTTCCTAAATTGTTCTTTGTTCCATGAAAGAAAGAAATAGTTAAATAAGGTTATAAACAACATAAAAAACAGCTGATTTTTTTAGGGCTCCAGTCAGTTATTTGGCCAGCATGCAAAGATTCCTGCATCTGACGAGTGCCGGTTAACTTTGCGGAAACTGTGTGTGCATGGAATCACTTGGAAGCTAATGCCATTTTTGTGTTTAGCTAAAGCCAAAATCCTTCAAATACGGTGAAAGTAGGAGGAAATACCATATATTTGGAATGTGGATAGGAATCTGCCTTTTTAATGTACAAATATATTTTTTAAAGTTGGGAAATAAATGTTTACATATAATCACACGTGTTGTCTTTAAACAAAATCTTTCCTCAGGAGAGAGAACGAAGGTCACCGGCATTTAATCTTCATATAACCACCTTCCCTGAAAACAATGGAAGTGCACTTCAACTGTTCTGTCAACAGGAAGGAATAAAGGTATATGTAGAGCATTAGTAACAGTTGGATGTCCAGGAACTGTTTCGGAATGACCAACCCAATATCCAAACAAATGGTTTGCCATCTTGCTGTAGGGAAGAAAATCTGAAAAACAAAATACAGTAAGAAGAGATACTTCTGACTGGGAAAGGGGGTCGTAAGAATATGATCTGTTAGTCTGTCCAGAGTTCATCAATGAAAAAGAAGGCTGGTCAGTCAAGATCATTTACGTTTAGTCTAGGGTACTTCTGTAAAATCATTGCAGAGAAGAATGCTGATGTGATTCACTGTCAGACTTGCTACAGTACTTTGTTCTTGATATTGAATGTTTTAATCTAAGGTCAGAAACATGACATTCACCTAATATTTTACACCCAATTTAGTGAAGTACCTATGTATTTTGTTTGTTGAATTAATATGCTTGAGTTATTTGCCTAGCCCAGGGCCTTGAAGCATGAGATGCCTCATCCAAAACTCATTCACATAGGGGAGACTCTATCTATCATTTTAGATCAAGCACAAGATAAACATCAGGGTCTCACTTGGTTAGCTTCTGCTATGAGGAAACAAGAATTACTGTTTTAACTTCTGTTCTCCCTTGAGTAGCCTAGCTGTACAGATCGGTTTGCATGCTGGTTCACTTAAGACTGAATTCAGACTTGCTTAGTTAGTAATGTTGCACAGCAGGCCAGGGTAACTTTTTTACGAGTAACTGAAGTGGAATATCTCTGTATATTATACTCCATGCCACCTGCCAGTAATTTATGTTTGTATTTGTGTTTAGAAGTCCTGTTACAGAAGGCTTATTTCTAATCAGTGCCTCAATAAGCACAATACTATCTGTAGCGGAAATAATCTGAAATTGTAGGCTGCATATTGTTAGGGAGCTGAGTAGCCTAAAAGAAAAAAAGTTTAAACTTGATTCTTACCTACAGGTTTGGTTGGGTAGTCATTTCCCAAACCACACCAAGAGTCATCAGCATATTGTCTTTCAAATAGAGCCTCCATGGGATGCCAGACCTGCTTTTTAGCCTATCTGTTGCTCTAATGTGCATGTTGGCTGTAGCAGGTACAGCTTACCAGGATCTAGAATTCATATTTTTTCCATTGTCTTCTGTTGCTTTCCTAAACAGAGGTGTTTTTTTCAATCTACCATTCAGTTCACTTACCTGGAAGCAGGGGCAGTCATCTAATATAAGTGTACTGAAATTATTGACTTTTCATGTGCTTTCAGTGTGTGTCGAAATTTTTAGCCATCAGTAGCAAATTAGATTCTAGAATGATGCAAAATCTGATTTGTTTTTGAAATCTTCCTATATGCTTCATCATGGAAATAAATTAATTAGAACTAGTATTTTTGGCTCAATAGGTGCAAGAACTGTCATGTCTTACTGAATTCCATTCTTCACTAGTATAACTGAGCTAAAGAAGTCATTCAACATTGCCAATGCTGATCATAGTCAATAGTTTTACCTTTAACACTGATCCAAACCTAACTGTGTATTAAGCTCCGCACCATTCTAAAATTACTGATGCGCGCTGTTTAATAGCTAATGTAACATTTGGAGACACTGCAGAAGTGTTTGGGAAGAGAGGGAAGGCATTTCTTAGGATAGACCAACACAACACAGTATTCCTTTTTTAGAGGCAGGATGGGCTGATTTGTAGATTCTCTCCCACATCTGTGTCTACTCTTCAGGAAATCTTTCATTTCTTATTAAGCATTCCTCACTGGAGTCTGTTGGGTGCAGAATCATGAGCAAATGTATTCTGGTGTAGCTATGTGATTTGCAAGCATAGCTAATTTAGCTTTAAAAAATTTTAAAAGACTGATCATCCTGAGTGCCAACATAATGCAGTTGCACAACACATAGATGCAAACCAGCACATTACATACTGTAAGTAATGAAACTAGTGAGCCAAGACACAGCCCTGTGAAATGCTGGCCTCTTTGAAGAAGTGCTGAATATGAGTAGATGTTGAGAGTGCCAGCATTTAATATGGCTGTCTGGCTTTATGCATATGTATTAAGCATTTCTGACTAACGTGAACTGATCTTTGCCCATGCTCTCAAGCCTTCCCACCTTCAGATAGCACGGCTGCATACAAGCTGTCAATGGGAATGATCCCTGGTCCATACTTGTGGACCATACTTGGGATAGTTCAGGAGAATGTGATTAGTGCAGGTGAAACAGTTCCATGAACCTTTCCAACAACTTTTTAAAGTAGAAAATAGAGTTCTGGGGCCTAGGAATGGGCCCTGGCACTGTGTAAAATTCAGACATTGTGTGAATTTAGTTCTCTCTTTTTGTACCAGAGGAGACTTTTTCTTGATTTCAGTGACTGGGCCTTAATAAGGATGGTTTATTCACTGCTTTTTGTGGATCTGTGTGCTTACTGGCAGAGAAACGTGGTTTTCTACTCACAGAGGTTGTGAGCTGATAATGTTTGGAGGAGCGTGTTCAGCCCACCATACATATTCTCTTCTGCCACTGTAAGACTGATTTGAAACTCCACTCTTTTGTTTAACAAAGAAGATAAAACCCCAAAACACCCAACAAGCCTTCTTGGCAATTATTTTGTTTATGCTCTCTGCCCTTTTAACTTCTGTAACTTGATGTGCTTGATGCTCCACTCCAAACAAACAGAAAAAAAAAATAGTCTTTTAAGCCTGTTTATCAATTTTGATCTTCCATCTGCGTACATCAGCAAGATGATAAATGTGAATGGTACAGGAACATTCTGCCATCATACATGGATGTCTAGGTTGCTTGCTATAATCAAGAGTAACGTTTGATTTTGTCTCTGCAAGTATCAATAACACCTTTGAAATTGTGATGCAAAACTAATATTTCACTTATTTACATTTCAAGTCTTTTTGCATGCAGAAGTGAATAAAGGGTACATAAAACGTAGCATATAAAAACTTTCTCACCTACTGTATAAAAAATATGTTGAACATCTCTTTCAGGACGTGAATATATCTGAACTTATGAAGAAGCTAGATATTCTTGGAGATAATGGGGTAACAAATTTTTAATTTCAAATATACCTCTAGTTTTACGGTTATTTTAAAGCAGGTTTGGTTTTGGGTTCCCCCCCCCGAAGAAATAACATTCAAGAAAATGCACCGGGTGATTTTTATATGCCCATATTTGTATGAACAATATGAATGGTTAGGTGCTACTTTTACAAACTTCAAAGAAAATCTTTCAGTTAAACTGGTGCTAGTGAAAAGTGGATTTTCTCAAGCTAGGATTTGATCTTGGCGAATGACATGGAAAAAAGGCACTGTAGTAGGCAGAAAGAAAAGATATAAAACAGGCTAGAGGAGAAAAATAAGGAAGTCAAAGCCAGACCAAGTTACTCCTGAATTTCTCCTCTTGAGTAGTAATAGTAGCGCCTGCTACTGTGAAGGATCCCTCTGTCAGGGGTGGATTTTCTGGGGGAAAGGGCAAGGACAACTGGTTCCCTTTCTTCCCCTGTCTTGCCAAATACAGTATAAAATCTTGGTCATGCAGTTGGGGCACAAACATCCATGTTTTAGTTCTAGTTTTAGTTTTAAGCTCTATATTTACTTTTTATGTTGAAGGTTCTGTGGAGGTTTCGAAGGTACTTGCTCTTCCTTTGCATCGTTTTCGTTGATGGGAAATCTAGCTCTGAAGTGCATGAGGGGGAGAATCATTTGCTGTGGGACTATAGTCCAGTGAACTGGCATTTTTCTGGCTAGGAAAAAAACCCTTTCAAAATCCCTGATGGAAACCACTTAATTTTAATTGAATAATGAACTGTTGCAAAAGTGTTGTGGGAGTGGTGTACTGAAACAGAGTGGAGACTAAGACTAAACCTTTGGTTTAGCTTTTAATACTTTTAATCATGGGATCCTTTCTGGTCATGTTTTTAAAATCCTAAATGTTATAGCTGATTTATTCTTTAAAGTACAGTTAAAATTTATCAGTTATGTAAAAGGATGGATTTCCAATCCAATTTAAAATGCATCTTTTTGTATTTTAGAATCTGAGAAATGAAGAACAGGTTGCAATAATCCAAGCCGGGACTGTGCTTTCCCTCTGTGAAAAGGTAGAATTCAGTAAAGATTTTTCTCTTCCTAAAGACTGACCATGTCTTCTGAGATATCACATAACTTTGCCAGGGAAGCATGGCTTTTCTGTTCAGGTCATCTGGATTGGAGCATGTATTCATCCTTACATGACTGTTGGGATTGTGATGTCTCGAGGTAAAATCAAACTGACAAAATAAACCCAATTTAAAAATAAAAACATATTTTGGATATATTAGCTTAGAATAAAGTACTAAACCCCTACTTAACAAAAGAGACTTCATTCCCAGAAGTGCCAATGTCCTCAGCTGTCTGGGAACAGGGTGCTATGAAGTCTTCTGTAAGCTGTACCGCCACGGTCCATTGTGGGCTCAAGTCTGCGTATGACCAAAAAAGCTCTGAGCGGTCGGTGGTCCTTTCCTCTGTAGGGTAGTGAGCATAGACAGTGAAAAAGTAGTTTGTACAAGAGAGGCAATCAGTCAGGTCACGCAGTTCTGTGTGACTAGTTCTTCTCCAGTTACAGAGAGAATATAATCTGCATATGAATAAAGATGACATTTAGAACTAAGAAAGACTCACCTTTTTCTCTGAAGAAGCTTTGTCCATCCTGCTCATAGGTTTCTCTTAAATCTTTCCTAGATGCATTTTTGAAACTCAGAATCAGAACTTCCAAATTAAAAAATGAGCATTTTGTAATAATTGCTTTAATTGGTAAAATTTTGTTAATATACTTATCTAAGTATCTTAATGTAGATAATCTAAATTAGGTCATTTAATAATCATTGATTTATGTGAGTAACTGCTATAAGCAAAATAAAAATGAGGAAAAGTGCTAGAATCCCTATGCTTTTCATTGTGTTATAGCGTTAAAAAGAGGAGGTGATGATCATAGCCCTTTACATCCAGTCAGGAACGTGGAAGAACCCCAGAACATAAGACTAAGACAGAGAGCAAAACTGGCCAGACTTTACGGACTGCCCTGGGTTTTTATTGCTCAAGTCAATTAGTGCTTGTGCAGAAAGTGCCACTGGAATTAGGGAGCTTGTTTAATTTCTGTCAGTGTGGTGCCAAATAGAACATAAACTTTGTTATCTATAAATTATTTCCATGAGCAACTGATCACAGCAATAAGGGATTGGTAGCTTTGTCAATTGAAATAATTCCTTAAATGAATAGAAACATACAATTACAATGGAGAGTTTATTTATTTATTTATGCTAAAGTTGGTCTAGAATTTAATTTCACTTTTTTTTTCTCTTTTTTTGACAAAAGTTGCCTTAAAGATTTTTTATGCTCTTCTCAGATAATCTCCTTATTACAGAAATTGAACACTCCATCAGAAAGATGGAGATTTTAGTTTTATCTTGCATAGGTAAAGAGACTGCATTTAAAGAATGAGATGAAAAATAGTTCATGTTATCTATGGACTCTATCCATTTTATGTCATTGCAGTGAAGTGCCTCACAGTAATCTGATAAATACAAGCTGATAGCAAATTGAATCAAGAGGGTACTCTGAGAAGCATGAAACCTTTTCCTCTGTTTTCATGGTGCACATTTGAGGTACAGGCTAATCAAAATCCATGTCCAAATTTTACTAAGTCAAAGAATAACAGAAAATAGCCATATGTTGTTCTTAAGAAAACAAACATGATACCACGTTTCATAATACTGCGTTTTACAGCACAGGCAAAATCAGGCAAAATCTGGTAAATTAAACTGGATGATTGTTTTAACATACGTTCTGTTGCATACATTACTGAATTTAGATTAAGGGAAATTTAAAGTAACTCCACTGCCTTCTCCAATGTAATGTAACCACCTTGGATGTCCCCTAAATAAAGGCCAGACAGCTTCCCATGTGTATTCTTATAGTTCCTTAATTACAAGAAACTCTCATATATAATCATCTCGTAACAGGATTGTTTGGTCGAGAAACAGTACTACAGCCATAGGTGTTGTACTAGTTATATTCACACGTGCTAATTAATCACACTCAGTGTTTATTTAGATCAAATCTATTATACTCAGCCACTATAAGTGATCTTTTGGAAATCAAGCTGCCAGGCAAGGAAAGTTTCTGGACTCTGCTGGCACAAATCCAGAAGCTTATTTTGAATGCTACAGCAGATTACAACTACTAAATACATGGTTGTCTCTTCTGTGCTTCTGTTCCAGAAAGGCTTACAGGCATAGGAAGATCAGAATCAACATTTAGTTTGCATATCATTCATACCTTCAAAAAAATTAGACGTCTAATTTTTGCAAATAACCCTTCATTTGCAAATATGAGGGTAGCTGTGAGATGGTGAGGGCTTCCCATTTCTATTCATTTCAAGGGTTCAGAATGCTCACTGTCATGCCAAATTCTTTATCAGTGGTGAGACTTTCCTTAGGAATATCTTCAGTCTGTCACCTTCAAAATGAAGAAAATAAAGATGATGGAAATAGAATCACTGGGGAATGTGGTGTTCCTGATCACTTTTTTCAGCTCTGTACAAAGCTAAACCTACTAAGTAGATAAAACAAGTTTCTATTTTTATCCACCAGACTCTTAAATAATGGAAGGTCCAAAAGGATGAAGTTATGAATTCACATTCTGCTTATTTGTAAACATATGTTTGCAGATTTCCTATCTAAATCTTTGGAAAAAAGATGAATATGTCATTAATTCCTTTGAGTCTGAGCCCAGATGAATTCACCAGAAGCCTAAATTTAAAAAGTTGATATGTAACGCTTACCAAAAGAACTAAAGTAAATAGGAGTAATCTAGTGTTAGTAAGCAAAACGTTTGAGGAAAGTGGTAATTATTAGTGGCAAAGCTACAGGTGTGTCTTTAATGGGAGCTGGCACTACAAAAAGAAGCATTAGTCTAAACTATACTCTCTGTAATCTAGTCATCGATCCTTATTGTAGGCCACTAAGGAAATGAAATAAAACAATTCCGAATTGAGCATTCCCATCCATTCCAATAAACTTAAATGCTGAATAGTAATATAATCCTGGTCACGGTTCATAATTAAAGAAAGAACCTTCTATCCATGCATTTAGCTATTACAATATGTAATTTTACCTTTGGAATGCAATGGCCATTCTTCTGAACTCTAACTGGTTTGTTTATCACCAGAATGGTAATGGATTCATGGTAGCAACTGCATGAACTTCCATCTGTCTGTCCATTTTATTGTTCCCTCTACATTACTGATGTTTCAGAAGTGAGCCTCTTCCCATGGAGGGTGCAGCAAACTGCAAAACAAAGGATTGAGTTTGCCACCATGTCTTTTGTTTAGATTGGCTTCTGGAAAAACGCGGGATGGTTTTGCAAATCAGGCCACCAAGCATTGGGTATATCAAGTTGCAAACAATCAGGTTAATTTTACATTCTTCACCTGAGTCAGTTTTGTATCTTGACCTTTACAGGGGGAAAAAATCTTTACTTTATTGTAGGAAAACAGCCTCCATTTGTTCATCTTTAGTATGTTTCTACAGTCCTCCATTCTGCCTGTTCTCACAACCTGTTTATTCATGGGTAACTTCAAAGTGGGGAGTGTTGGCAAGAAACTTGCAAAATGCTTGGTGCCAATTTTTCAAAGCTCTGTTTTTTTCATTTTTTATTTTTTCCTCTTCACACTGCTATGTTCATGTAGTGGTTAAAACAGATAGAGGGGACAGAAGCTGCACTGACACAGAAGATGTTAGACCTGGAGAATGAAAAGGTAAGGAACAATAACTAGAAATATAATTCATTTAGGTAAAACTCATCTCAAGGGAACATGTATAACTTCATCGTGGGCTGATTTGCTTTCTCTGCTTAACAAAGATTGCTTCATGGTAACTTGGCAAGAGATTTCTAGGACAATTTATTTCTTGTATTCTTTGGGGTGGGAGGGAACTGTCAAAGCTATATAGAACCAAAATAGCAAAATATATACAAGTTAGGAGACAAAAGCATAACTTTACAGAGCATATTAACCAAACAGCGTGAAATTGTCTTTGTGCTTTCTCTGTGCACTAATTTGTCTGGCAACAGCTTCATCTTTTTAATCTTGGTGTCATGTTAGTAGAATTGGCAAGGATATTCCTTTGCTCTCTGGTATTCAGCTTCTGAACAAGTTGTAAAGACCTCTTACTCCAGATGACCTTTCTTGCCCCAAGGTCTTCGTGCTTAAAGACAGAATGTTTTCTCAAAAGCCATTCTGTCTTGCATAACGATCTCAGTGTTATACTGACCTTACTTTTCAATATGTTGAACAAAGAGTTTTGGAAGGAGTGTTTGGTTTTATTGGTTTATCATGCATGCTGTGCTTCTCATCTTCAAATGGCTTTACAAACACTGATTAATCCTCGCCACACCTTTTACAGGTAGATAACTAATCAGCATTACATTCATCTTAAAGAATGGGAAACTGAGACAGGGAGGTTAAGCGATTTGCCCAGGGCCACTGAAGAAGTATGTGTTTTGGCCACAATCAAAAAAAAAAGTGCTCAGACTGTGTTGTCTGTTGAGTGTAGCCTATCATAGTGGTTGTAACATGGGTATGATCCTTTCCACATTTAGTATTTATTTATTTTTAACTCTTGCTATGGAAAAATGCAAAGGTTTTAGAGAGGGAAAGTGCCCACAAATACTACATTCTTTTATAAAAAGAACTGGAAAACAATAGGGTTTTTTTAACTTGGTTTATGGTCTTACCCTGGATAGCCCTGTATCTATTTGTTTAGCCTAGCAATCTGAGAGTCTGCACTGCCAATGATTGACTCAATTGTGAAATGAGTTTAGAGATAATATTCTGGCGTGACACTTTCAGTATGGCTGAGCACTGGTTTAATTGTCCTTGGAACCCATGTTAAGAGTTTGAGATCCTATTCTTGTTTCCTTCTCTCTTGATTTTTGTGGCCAGCTTTTACAATAGCTTTTGGAGAAGTAACATGATCATGGCACCTGCATTGCTATTCTGGAATCTGTTGGTAGCTCTGACCCTCTTCATAGTCTTGGGCAAGTCAGTCTACTTCTCTGGACCAGGCCTGTCCTTTACTATGTGTTACACAGTGCACGGTGGCATTGCATCTTGTACAACAGCCATGTAGCTGGTGCTGTAATCCACATAAGAAAATAATGCCATCTGGGTAGTCAAGGTGGGATTCAGTTGCATTAAAATGGTGTCTAATGCCATATTACACTCTTCAGAGTTCTGGAGATGTCTACAAGGGGCTGAGAAATATGTCCTACAGGACCTGTTGGAGAGCCCTGTCCTTCTGAACCAGCAGCTGAAGTAGCATACTGTCAAATGGCTATTGTAGCAATAGATGCCCATCTGTGGGTAACTGAATTCCAGCACCAAGATCAAAGCCTCGCTTAAACTTTGGCTCTGCTTCCAATATTAATTCATAGGTAATTAAAATAAATCCAACTTTACAAAAAAAAAAAGGAATAATAAATATTATAGTTCTTATACAGACAACAAATAGCAACTTATTCCTCTGAGTCCTCTAATATTGGTCTTGTATGTAGCCGCTGTCATCAATTATGAGTTGTTCTTAAGAAGTGGGAGGTCATCTGTAGTCATTTTATGCTCTGAGAGCCTCCCAAGCATTAATTTTCTGATCAGAATGGATTTGTTTTAAACCAGAAATTTGGAGCGAGAATTTGTTGTCATGGTTCATGCTTAGGCAAATTCTATGCCTGTGCTACACTGACAGCTGACAGAAAAACTGTTGAAAATGCACGTATATGTCTGAAGGTAAAATCTGGCCAAATAAGTGACTTTGGGGCAATCACATATCTAATAAAACTAACCAGACCAGCCACATTTGATTTTATTTTTTTATACTGTTAATAAAAGCTACTAACAATCATCTTAAAACTCCTATATATTTAATTTGGCATTTATTCTATATGTTGAGGAAGTGCAAGAGTTTGTTGAATAGAAAAAAGAATGATGAAAAATATTAAATTCAATCAAAGTGCCTCTCTGCCTTCTGGACTACTACTTATTTTTTTGAGCTTGAAAACCTGCCTTGAAAGAAAGCTAACAAAATGAACTCACTTTTTTATCCTCTACTTACTCGCCTCCAAAACACTCTAAAGGCATGTTTTGTAAGAGCACTGACACCAGTCAGTTCTCATTTGACTGTTCAACATTCAGTTGTCCACAATTTTCCTGCAACATCATGCTTTTGGATCCTGAGTTCCACTGAAATCCCAGCCTCTGTTACAACTGCAAGGTTTTGCTTCTGTGAAAACTGGTCGGTTTGATTTTAGAAACAAAAGCAAAAAATCCCTGTAAATCCTAGGAATGTTGAAAACTTCTTCAGCTTAAGTCACTTAACCTCTCTGGGCATCACTTTACCAATTTCAGATTAGCTTCCTACCTTTACAAGTTGAGAACTGACTTTTTACTTCTGCTTCACTAATGTGTCAGGGGAAGTTGCTGCAGGACCCAGCTAGGGCCCTGCCTGGTCTGGCTTCCTGCCCACAAGCACAGGTCAGACAACACAGATTACGGTTTCCCCATGATTTCCTCAAGGGTGTACTCTGGATATTTTCAGAGAAGCAGTAAAGTGCCCCCAGTTGTCTTCCTCTCCTCCCTCCCTTGGCCTGCCCTCTGCAAGTAACGACTACCGGACCACATGCATGCACGTTCCCCTTCGCCTTCCAGCCTTTGTGTGCACCTCTGTCAGGTCAAGGCAGGTTTGTACACTGGTGTAGAGGTCTATACTTTATAGCTACAACTCATTAATATGATACACGTACCTTAAGTGCTAATATTGTAAATCTGATATTCCAGATATCCTTAGGATGCATGTGGTCATTGGATGTAGATTTTCTTTGCTTTCAAGTGGAAAGCTGACATAAAAATTATGGCATTTATGATTCTTCATGAATTAGGATAAAGAACAAACACTCCCTTGTTTTTATTATTGCTCAGGACCTGTTCAGTAAACAGAAGGGTTATTTAGAGGAAGAACTCGACTACAGGAAGCAAGCTCTGGACCAGGCATACATGGTAGGAAAAGATCAGTCATTAAATTTTCATGTTTCAACAAATTCGATAAAATACAAGGTTGTTTTTTTTTTTTCTTTTAATTATAAATAGGGTTCTTTTTTAATTGATTTGTTTTTCTGTCAGGCTAGGAAATCAAATACTACTTAAATGGAGACTTGGGAAGTGGATTATAGTACTTAGAAGTGTGATGGTTTTGCATTGCATTTTTTATTCTAAAATATGTGAACATCTTGTTAGTACATCTGGAATGGGAAGAGCTGGTCTATGTGTGCACAAAATTATCACTGGTAAAATACACCAGAAATTACTTTAGAACTTTTCCAATTTTGCTTTTTCCTAAGCATTTGTAAATATTACTGCTGCTAACCTATCCCAAGTTGGGAATGCCTGTTCCTCCTATGCGACTCCCTCCTGTGCTGTCCTATCCAACCTTACCTTTCCTAGTTTTCAAAAGGGAAGCTGCAGCTTTGCCTTCTCTGAGGATAAGCAACTATTAGGAATTAGCTAGGAATTGGGAAAACCCAGCTTTGTTAATAGTGAGACTTCAGGGAATCAAAATATAATGGCCTGAAGGATTATTTATACATTGCAAATATTTCTTATGAGGAAAAATGTTTTCAGAAAAGAAGCAAGGTCTAGTGCTCAGAGCAGATAACAGAGATAAAAGCAAGCAGGCTCTATTCTAGCACTGTGACCTTGGGCAAGCCATTTAACCTCTCTGTGCCGCTGTTTATGCATCACTAATATGGATGGAATTACCTACCTCGTAAAGGTGTCATGAGGGCTGAAGGGATGCTGCCAGATTCTCTTGATCCAAATATTGTCGGTCTGGATGCTGGTTTTTAATAGGATCATACTAACCCCAGTAATCAGGGAAACACTGCCATGATTCCTTTCTTTCTTTACTCTTGGGAATACAGTTCTCCATATGAATGTAAAGTTCTCCCGTGCTCTCTGCTTTGCAGAGTACTGCAGTTTTGGTGAGTGCATGAGAATCTGGTTAGGAATCTGGCAAATGACAAGAGACTGATGAAGGATTAGTGTATGCAAGAATACAAGCATTCCTTTCTTCACTGCTTATGGCAACTTGGAACTAAGCCAGTGACATAGACTTTGAGCAATGGGTGGCAGGACAGTAGGGCCAGAGAGAGGGAGACAGTAAAGTTTCTGTTGTTCACAGTTCACCCTGTGGGCTTTTTATTTTATAGGATGGCTTAACAATTCAGTTGCAGTTGAAGGGAATCTGCTAGTTTGCATTAATTTTGTAATGTTCAGCATCAGGTGTTGGGGGTTTGTTATGTATCAAGCACAGACCTATCATCTGAATCTTTCCTAAACAGAAGAAATCAATCATTTACTAGAATGGGACGCATTGCCTGGGTGTAAATCAGTGCTGGGAGGCTACGTGCACTCTGTGTGGAATGCTCCTCACTGCTCACAACTGCCGCTTTCTGTCTACCTGTCTGTGTCCATCCTTCCCTCCTGCCTAAGGCTTCGCTTGCTAGCCTTCTCCTCTAGCTGTTGGTGGGTCGTTTGCTTGCTGGATTTAAATGGCAGCCTGTCTGTATGTGATTTGGGTTGCATTAGAAAATCCAGGAGCTGGAAGCCACGCTGTATAATGCCCTGCAGCAGGATCCAGGAAGGCGGGCAAGCGAGTCGCTGACCGAAGCCCAGAGGGAGGATTTGCGAGCTGCAGTGGAGAAGGTGCGGCGGCAGATCCTGAGGCAGAGCCGTGAGTTTGACAGCCAGATCTTGCACGAGCGAATGGAGCTGCTGCAGCAGGCACAGCAGGTAATCCCGGGTCTCTCTCCCTGCCCCCCGTTGTTGGTGTTGCCTCTGTGGTTGCCGCCACTGCCCATACAAGAGCATCGCTTCACCCTCACCTCGTTGAGTTACGCTTGGTCTATTCTTTGTATTGCTCCCATGTCAAGGAGAGGAGCAGCGTTAGGACCTGGGTGCACTGGGCACGGTACACACACCAAAGGGGTCACTGTCTCACTACAAGGTCCTGTTGCACAATCTGTTTCATGTGTGTACAACCACACACTCTTCCACAGGACTCCAAGGGGAGCTTGTTGCAAGTTTAAGGCCTAAATTAGGAAAAGCCAGAATGGAAGATTGTGAGAGTGTAACGCTATGAAAAGAGGAAAGGCAGAAGCAGGAGTTACATGAATTGAATTTATTTTCCCCCCTTCTATTTCTTTTAGCTATTTGTGAAATCTTTTAAAATTAAAGAAAAAAAAAAAAGAGGCAGTCATAGCAAGTCTTTTAAGAGGCCATTTACAAGCCTTCATGCCTTTCAGAAAAGCCTTGTCTGTCTAGGCCACTTCCTTAAGGACAAATACTGACAACTTGAATTCAGGCAAGTTCCTGGCAAGCATGGTAATTATTTTCTGAAGAGTCAGTTGGTAGGATTACTAGTTTTTCTGTGCAAATATTCAGGGAAAGAAGACAGCTGCGTGTCTCAGGGTGTTAATTATTCCAGCAAGAATAGTTGTTCCTAAGGATTTTGGTTCCTCTTTATAGTAACCTCTGGAAGATGCAGCCAGATGTCTTAGATCTTGAGGGCTGCCCTCTGGTTGCTCTAACTACTTTCTGTGCTAATCTGGAATGGCAGGTTGTATATGCTATGTAGACATGTTCAGGATGTTGTTGCTCTCTCAGATGCTGGTTACTGGAGCAAGGACTACATTTAATTTAGTCCAGGCCTCTCTCTGTTCAGCTTGGCTTTCTGCATTAATACAGACCACAAATGACGTAATGGACTGACCTGGCACTGTTGCGCTCCTCTCCCGTCATCCTGCAGTGATGAGAAGCGCTTATGGTGCCAGTGTTACAGCTGAGCTCTGACTTCCTAGAACTCTCCTTTCTCTTGCTCTTTCACTGTCTTCCCTTGTTTTGGAACATGTAACATTGAGATGAGAAGATGAGTTTTTTTAATGGGTGTCAGATCAGTGATGGTGTACAGAAAACTGGAGAAGGTAAGCACCAGTGGAATTTGGTAAATAAGGATGGAGCCAGGAGTTATTAGCTTAATGTTATTAGTGTAGCTGAAAATTAGTGAGAATGGGGGATCTTGCCAGTCTCTCAGATAGACCAAATTCCTAGCCAGATATCAGGGGTTTAATTCGGACTATATTCCGTTTGGTCCCATGGACTCCTCACTCTCAGTCAGAGCACTTCAGTTGCACATCTGGAGTACATCGTCAGCTGAGTGCAGTTCATGTGCTCCACAACATCAAGTTAAATATGATGAGTGTGGAAGAAAACTTCGCTCCTGCTCTGGACAAAAATGCTGGCGTAAACGTAGTCTCATTAGCCATGGATGTTTATGTACCTGTCCCTAGATCCATTTTATACTGTGTCATTAGTTTTGCATTGTGCCCATCTCATTAGACATGCTAATGTTACCACCCTGCAGGACACATTAAACTGAATGCTACTGCTTAATAAGGAGCTAAGTATTTTAGTAATCTATTTTTAACTCCCCTCTGTAGTAGACAGGAAAAACAAAGGCAAAGATGGTAGTTAATTTGCCTGGGGTATGGGAGGTTAACAGATTGCATTTGAAATCCTTTGTCCAGTTTCTTCTTCTCATTTGTTTTCTTCCTGAAGGTTGTATTTTTGGGTCCTTATGGCACCAGTGGTCAACACTGATAACCTAGTAGTTGTATGCAAATGTCCATGGCTTAAAACCAAACAAACAAAACCCTAGCATGGACCAGTAATGTCACAGGGCTAATTCTCCTAGGGTTACATTCATCTACATGAGCAGATGACAGCAGCTGAAATGCTACAAAAATGAGAGCATAACTGCATTGGCAGAGTTCTAAGGTACGGATGAAGCTGCTCTAAGTATAGTGCATCCCTAGATGCTACATTTGATGAATCCTCTTTTCTTTTGCTGACATTGCAGCATTAGAAAGCACCCATTACACGTTCTTCTGGCAAAACTGTAGCCTAGACCTTGTCATATTTGCACAGCCTGCAGTGCTTTTACAGTATGCGCCACCCTTCTTACTCTGCCGAAGTGGAGGTCATAGAGAATGGTATGACAGCATGATGGACCTGCAAGACTTAATGCAGAATGTCCTTGTAAACACTCTCAAACTTTCCCTGAAACAGAAACCATGCACTAAAGCTCCAAATTCATTGAAACTTTGGAAGTTTGATCACTTCCAGAAGGCCTGTTTCTTTGCTTCCATTACCTTCTGGTCTTGCTGATACAAGGGCTTCAAAAGAACAGCTCTGCTTATCGTGGCAGGCTGGCTACAACCTTCTGAGTCCGAGTGTCTCTGTCAGACATGCAGAGTGGGGGTCCAAGAAGGTCTCATGATGGAGAAAGAGGAGTTCTGTCCTTCTGCATGTAAGTGATCCTTGACCATACTTGAGAAGTGGCAAGGCATGTGATGAACACTGCAGATAGGTCTGCAGGGTTTCACTACAGGTGAACTGCTTCATGCAGGGACTTTCAGGATTTAGCTTGTGAGATGCTGGTTTTACAGAGCTAGGGAATGTACTGTCTGCAAGGGACGGGGATGTGCATAAGAAAGTGGGTAAACTGTTGTCCAAATGTGAGCCTGTGCTGCTTTATGTGTGCTTCTTTGTCCAGATATAAAGCCTTAGTTCTTAGCCACTGGGTATTGACTTTGTTCCAGGGAAATAAATATATTTTAGGATGTTAGGCCCTGTTTTACAATTGATAGGTTTGTTCATCTTGGGCATGTATAGCCCCACATTATTATTGTTCATTAGTATATAAATGGAACCATTCATGTATACTCATTGCGCATTAAGGAAACCAGGCCTCTGTGGAGCCAAATTACACAGACTGTGATTAGATCTGCTTGCTATGGCGTACAGCGCTTTTATTAAACCCAGAGTGGAACATGCAGGTCTGGGGGACAGATCCTCAGCTGAAGTATATTGATAGTACTCCCTTTAAGTCAGAGAATGTGCTTTGGTTTACACCATCCTCTCTATTCGGAGGAGGCAAAACATGTTAATTAAAAATCTGTCATGAGCAGCTTGTGATATTTGCTTCTAGCCATAGGGTATATGCGGTTCAACTGCCATTCCTGCATATATTGCCATCAAAAATGTCTCATTGAGCTACACTGTTATTATAAGCTTTTGTCAATCAGTGTCTGGGTTATTTTTAGCAGAACTTCATCATTTAAAAGCAACATTTATGCTCTTATCAGTGCAGTGGCAGTGCACTTTTGTGCATTTTAGAAAATATGAAGAATGATTACTAGCAGGTTCTGTAAAGAAGGGTAATTTTTCATTTATATATAAAATGCTAAGCCATTTCTAGAGAGAGAGAAAAATATGTGTTGGTGTAGCTATAAAAACCATCTCTGAGAAAAAACATTTCAAATGGAGCAATACAACGTGTTCCTGAAGTACTATTACCAACTTCTTCATTAAGCAAACTAAAAAAAAACACCCCAAAACCACAAAAACCAACCACCCAAAAAAAAAAAAACCCACAAAAAATTCACACAGCATAATGGCTAATTGCCTTAAAAATACATAGTGATTGTGTTATCTGCTGAAATTAATAAATATTTAAAGGTCAAATTATGCTTTATATAAACCAAATGGCATCTATCTTGAAATATATTCCTGTTGGTTTGACTGTAGCTGCTTCTGGAGTAAGAAACTGTGGAAAGCCATCAGCATCAGGCTTTAAATTAGGATAGATTAATTCAAATTGCCCTGTTGGCAGTATTCAAACATGAAGAAAATTTATAATAGAATTTATTCTGATTTCATTTTAAGTTATTTTAAATACAAAGAGAAGCTAAAAAATCCTTGAAGGACAGCAGATTGACACACACTCAGTTCCAAAAATGGTTGCTGCCAATCAGAAAGGACACGAGAGACAGATTTTATTAAAGTAATCCAATAATTTCCCATAGCAGTCTTATCTTTGTATAAAATTGTAAGAAAAAAGAAATAGAAAAGATGTGTTAGTTCGTTGTATCATCAAAAAGTGTGAAACTTGTTTTTTTCTCTGAGTTGCACGGTAGTACTGTACTAAGGTGGGGGTGTTTTACTCTAACTTGGGTTAGAATATTCTTGGGTGGAGCTCAGTTTTACAGAGTAAAACAAAACCGCTTCAGCTCTAGACCTGAATATAATGCATCTATGGAGTGCTGAAGGCATCCAAATTCCAACTCTAAATAGTTGAAATATAGCTGTAAATATTATAACTATTTTTTCTTTAAACTATAGCATTTACTCCTATGACCATGTTGAATTATTCATTGGTAATAAAAGCAGAAATTCCCACTTTATTTGCATGTTTTACTAGAAGAAGGCATAGGACAATCCTTTAGGACAAAACAGGTATAACTCAAAACTGACCTCTATATTTCACCACCATAAAGAAGGATTCATTTCAAATGTGATGCCTCAGGCACTTTTTTTCATGAACACCAAGGAAAAGTCAGAAGCAGTGATGTCTTTTCTCATCCTGAAATGTCAAAATATAAATATAGCTTGAAATTGAGAAACACCAAACTAATTTCCTTCAGTAAGTTTCTTAATTTCTTTTTTTTCTGACTAGAAGAGCCAAGTTCTTACTGCTTAAGGTCAAACAAAGCTATAGTGGGTGCCATTCCTCCATGAGTTCTCCCTGCTCTCTCATAGGTGGGACACCTTTTTCACACTGGAGAGAAGATTGTTTATATATCCATAGGGTTGGATGTCACTCTATCTATAAGATTGTGTTTGCTCAGCCATTTGGAATATACACTTGGTGTTTTGTTGTTTTTTTTCTGAAA